AACATTACCTTAAAGTATGCGCACAGAAGGCTCTGCAAGCAGTTGCAGAACTTTAAAAAGCGCTAGATACTAAACAGACAATAAATGCAGAAGTCAAGGTGCTAGAAGCAACAGACAGTTCGCTATAGATCTCCTAACCTATAATAAACAATTCCTAAGCCTCCACCTAAGTCAAAGCACACAATCTTAATAACTATATCCAATCTTGCATTACTAAAGCTCTAAAAGCACTAGAGGAAGTGGATAATCTTATTATAAAAAAGGGGCTACTATAAAGACAGAGGGCAACGCGAGCAGTAAAGACATAAGGAATATTAGCAATTAAGAATATAGATGCAGGAGCAGTCATTTCTGGCGAAGACAATGCATTAAGGTTGCCAACTAAGAGTCAGGACTCTAAATAGTATAAAGCCCTTTACAGCGCAGTAATAGATATTAAATTTAATGCCTATCTTCTTATCGCTTATTTAAAGAAGAGCAGAGATCTTCTTTACTATAATTCTGCTGTTATTCCCCTTTAGCAGACGCTGGATTAAGATAAACTGTTTGCTGTTATGCAGATAGAGGATAACGTTAACTTTAAGCTTATTCTTCCAACCTATTAACAGAGTTTAATTACTAAACTAGATAAGGTTCGGATCTTATATAACATAAACAGCAATAAATATTATCTTTATTACACAACCATGGCAAAAAACATTATATGCATTACTAACCTTAAAACTGGTATTAAGCATGATATTCTCCAGTCTTATATATTTATTCTAATAGACCGTGGCATTTAGCGAGTCTTTATATACAATTCTTATAATAAATTCAAGGCTACTGTTAACATCCTAGTACTTGCAAGACCATTCTAAGTCATGTTTTATAAATTAAAGTAAGGGGCTATTAATTACTCAGGGAAGAGGGCGGCCACCAGCAATTTAATTTAAATCAGAGCAATAAAGCGACAAAAAATGCCTTTAATAAATTTATTCAGTTATAGGAAAAGTGTTCACAACATTCCTAAGCTATAAGAGCTTTATGTAGGAAGTATAGCAGAGATTTCATCTAAATGTCTAAGCGAACAGTATACTTCCTATACCTTAAAGAAAAAAAGGAGCATATAGGAAGGGGGACTGACAGGCGTCTATAAGTGTAAACATTTAGGTATAGAGGATGTAGTAGTAGTAAAGGTTTTCCTCTAGGACGACCTCTTTAAAGCTGCAGCAGGATAGAAAAATAAGAGAGACATGCTTAAGCTATTAAAGCATATAAGTATTCCTAAGATTCTTATTCTAAATCCTAATCTAAAGTCTTATTAGGATAACATTATTAAGCTTAAAGCTGCTGATGCCTATATATTCACACTATATCTTAAGCTTCTTCCTCCCTTACTTTTTAATGTATGTTATAGTGGATGGCTATTTTCAGTATTAAATATAGTAAAGATTATTTGAGATATATTGTCCGCTCTTAACTACTTAAAGGCGCAGAATGTTGTTTATTATGATGTTAAACCATTAAATATTGCCTATTCTCTAACACAAGGTGCAGTACTACTTGACTTTAGGTTATTATCTACTCTAATCCATAACAAGACCTATAGAACATATAGGTATTTACCTCTAGAGACATTTGGAAATATCCTGCATGATTTCCCAGGAGATATTTAGGCTCTTAGCATTATAACGCTCTTTATTTATGGATATATTAATAAGCCAGAAGTTTTAGCAGATAAGGCATATTTACTAAAGTTAAAGGAGTATGTAAGAAAATTAGAGCTAGAGTTAATGCATTATGCTTATAGCATATAGTAGGAGGAGCATCTTTTTCTATGTTTAAGGAAGCTAGAGGTTAAGATAGTTAAGGCAGATTAGGAATCTAGGCTTTATTTACTAGTGGTTAGTATGCTTTGCGAGAATATTAAGGCATAAGTGGGAGCAGTGAGTTTATTATTAGCAGCTTAGGATTTACTAAACTTATTTACACCCTAAGATATTATGCTTTATATTTATATCTCTACCTTATTAACATAGACTTTACTTATTAATCTTAATCATATGGTATATTAAATAAAGAGATAAATAATAAAATAATCTGGCTTAATTCTAATTAAACCTTACTTTAATCTTATGTCTAAATAATATAACTAAAACCTATCCTTTAGATAAGCCGCTGCACCCAGCCCTGCTAGGATAATAACCATGTCCTCGGGATCTCTAAGACCTAAAACCTATCCTTTAGATAAGCCGCTGCACCTAGCCCTGCCAGGATAATAACTATATCCTTAGGATCTCCAAGACCTAAAACCCATCCTTTAGACAAGCCGCTGCACCCAGCCCTGCCAGGATAACGACTATGTCCTTAGGATCTCTAAGACCTAAAACCCATCCTTTAGACAAGCCGCTGCACCCAGCCCTGCCAGGATAACGACCATGTCCTCGGGATCTCTAAGACCTAAAACCCATCCTTTAGACAAGCCGCTGCACCCAGCCCTGCCAGGATAACGACCATATCTTCAGGATCTCCAAGAACTAAAACCCATTAGACAAGCCGCTGCACCTAAAGGATAACCACCTAAAGATACTAGGGGAAACAGAAAACAGTAATGCTCTTATAGAGTGCGCGGCTTGCTTAAATAATCTAGTTCCTAAAATATGCATTATCCCTTTCTCCTTACGGACCTGGTATTTATATCTTTAGAAGATTGTAATATTATAGAGACTTAGGATATATTTCTTGTCTTTTATTAGCTACATTTAAAACAAAGGCCATTCTTAATTCCAGCGACTTTCTTATCTACAACTTGTTTAATAAAAGAAGATGCGTTAAAATTTGGTGTATAAGAGGCAAGATGCCTTAATCTTTAACACTTCTGTTTATAATTATTATTATGGATGTTATTGTTATAGATTTTATTATTATCTCTAGATCTCTTTCTAGAAGGTCTTTAACATGCAGCTGGCGGAGGTAGGGAATAACAGTTAGTAGACGTCAGTTTAAGTATAGAAGAACTCTGAAACTGTTAACGCTTATTAACGCGACTATGCTTAGCATTATTATTATATTTAAGTCCCTTTCTGGATGCTCTTTAATATGCAGCCGGCGGGGGCGGGGAATAGCAGTTAGTTAATGTCGGCTTAAGCAGAAGAGAACTCTTAAGCTTCTAATACTTATAAGTAGGACTTTAATAACTGTAATTAGAAGCAGTATTTATATCTTCTGCAGTTCCTTTAGTTAAACCGTGTGGTGCAGACGTAGATAATATACAATCTGGTGCTTAGTATTTATCAGGACTGTTACTAAATATAACTCTTTTACTAAAGAAGTAAAGCTAGTTAGTCTAGACATGCATCTGTCAGAAGGGATATAGCATTAAATATAAACTAACCGCTTTCTTAAAGCAACTGTCTCTGGCTTGTCTCCACTAGTCGCAACACTGTTAACTATAGGCTTTGTTTATTAGTTATAACAGACAGCATCCACGTATTGCATGGGGTTAATGTTAATATCCCCAGGTCGTATTGTTAAATAACACTTGTAAGTATCTAGTTATAGTCTGCAGTTGCCGCAATAATCCAGCTTCTGGTTGCAGTTCTAATAAAAAAGTAATTACATTGACCTGCAGTCCTTGCAAGAACTTAGGTAGATATTATCCCCCCTTTAAACTAGAATATTTATGTTAAGTGCTAAGCTCTTAACTTTATTAGCTTCCTAGCTAAAAACAGTGCCTTTTAAAAGGTATATAAAAGACTTAAGGGTACTATAGCATGCCCCTGCTGCTGCATTCCTGGCATCTTTATATAAAAAGATCTTATAGTTGCGGATTATCTCTAGATATGCTCTCTATACTAAGTCATGGCATTTCCTAAGCTTTTTCTTATTCTCTTCTTTAAAGAGTCGCTTAAATTCTTCCTTGCTCTTTACACGCTTTATAAGGTTAGTTGCCTTAGATAGATATTGCTTATAATAGAGGATAGGGATTAGGAAAGTATTAAAACAGTTCTAATACTGTTTAAAGAGAATATCATGGCCCTGCATATTAAGTTCAACAGTTTGGTCCTATAAAGCAGTTAAACCGTAAGTAGGTGGCAGGGCATGGAATATATATAAATGCATTATATATCCTCGCTTAGCTCTTAGTATGCAGTTATGGTTATAGCTGTAAAGGTGGTAGTGGTGGTTATTATAGAGTTAGTTGTTGCAGTTGTTAAGGATATGCGTTAATAAGGCGAAAGAGCTATAGAGAGAGAGAAGATAGGCGCTGGCAAGTGACGCAAGAATATTGCATAGAGTGCGGGGAAGGCGCAGTATTACATATAACTTTACCTTATATAAAGTAGGTACTAGTACTAAAGATAACCTGGTCTTAGGTAAAGGGGGGTGAAATTATTAAGGTAATATTTAAGGGCCTAGTAGAAAACGGACTTGGCCCAGTTTTGCCAGCACTATTAGTAGCACGTTCAATTAAAGCAAAACGGTAGTGACCACCTTAGTGCGGGGTTGGTCAACCACCAGAAACGGAAGCATGCAACCCCAGATCTAGATCCCCTGGCCGTCAAAAATGGCAGACAATACACTCAAGAGAAGTGCTTGACGGGACCCCGAGTTTTCCACTACCTATGGTCGTATGTGCTTAATTTCGGCTTGCATGAGTATATATCGAGAGTTGACAAAGTAAAAGCTCGCACTCTCACTTCAAATGATGCTTCCCTTGTGTACATACCTTAGATGCCGATGTCCGCGATATTGACAGACCCAGGAAGCACAGTACAATAGACTTCAACACAAGACAGTTCCGAAGCCTAGAAGCAAGCGTTTAACTTAGTGGAAGGCCTTGATCATCGTCACATTACAACCACAACACGATCTCTACCACTTGATCACATCGTCTGCGATATGCTCTTTGTTGGCTTCTAAGATCATGACGTGCCGGACTGCTGACAAAGTTCGGGACTCCAATATATCCAGTTAACAAAGAGTGCAGCACTCATTCTTGTTGGCTAGCTGGATCTTCAGTCATCACCAAAGGTATCATAGTACTTGACATCGAATCTGCCATCGGACCCTTGGACCACACGGGCATAGAACTTGCCCTTGCCCTCGCCTTCGCTAAAGTCGATGGTAGCGCCCTCCCTGGTAACAGAGTGATAGTCCACAATCTCGCCGGAGACCTGCTGGCTCTCGGAGACGAAGAACTTCATCTTCGGCTTGACTTGCACTTTCATGTCGGTGCGGGGAGCAATCTGGCAGTCCCTGTATTAGCGACTCGAGGCGAATCTTTGTTAGACACCTGGAGGGAGGAGATATCGTAACGTACTGATGAAACGGGGGCAACCTGGCCACGGTTGTTGACCTTTGCGAGACCCAGTAGATACGTGTTGTTGGGCATGTTGAAATCTGAGCCTGTCTGGACTTCAAAAGCGCCAGAGACAGCAGTCGGGGTGACTTCAGTGATCGTGGGGAAATTTTGGATGACCTTCTTCTCAAAAGTACCTGATTACAGAGTCATTTCAATTAGCTTCTGGTCCTTAAACTTATTCTCATCAGAAGAGTGAGGTGTCCTCAATTGGTCGCCACCTACTTCCAGGCACATTATCTGTCCCGAGACGGGCTAGCAGACTCATGCCACTGTTAACAATGACGCCCGGTGCCGGTGAGGCTGGAACGCTCCCAACCCCTATGATTAGTTATACTCGTTAGCATGGGCATAAGAGAGGGTCAGGCTCTGGTCTCTTCATACAGGCGAAAAAGTCGCTGCCGGTGCGAATCTCGAAGCTGCCATGGTAGGGAACAAACGAAGTATACCAGACGTTCATCCAAGGTTGCTGGCCGCCAGCGAACTCCGGAGGTTCCGTGAAGACTGCATAGTTGGTGTTTGCACCGCGCTCATTTTCAACAGAGATGGTGTAGCTGGTAGACATCTTGGATGATCTCGCGGGGACTTGAAGGTGAGACAAGTGGTCAAAAGGCTGTGTGAATGTGTTGTTTTGTCTGACTTGGTCGTTGAAGATGAGAATATGAAGATAAGAAAAGAGGACAAAGAGCTACTTATATAGATGGGACGACATGGGTCATTGTTGGAAGACATTAGAGGCTGGGTTTTCATGCATGGCAATTGATCTTCAGTGTGAAGCCTGATGTCTGTGTTGCCTATGTAGGTACAAGTGGCTATTGTATAATGCATGAGCTGTGGCTGGCTGAAGCCAGGGTCTAGATGCTTCCTATGTCCTCATCCCCTTGTTCTGTTGGCTACTCTTCGTACACAGATCAATGCATCCCTCCTTCTCCACGACCTAGGCTTAATGAGGATGACGAGACTCAATTACGTGTCTTGCCAATAAAATGGGAGAATCTTGCATAGTATATCACATACAAAGTGCCTCTTCAAGACCAAGCGGATCGGTATACCCGATGGATGAGGCCGACAACCATACTCCAATGCAGTGTATTTGGCACGACGTGAAGCATCTGCCAACACTTGCAGACCTCTCAGTAGCACAGAGCAGCATACACGCGCCCTCAGCTGCGCGGCAGCTGCAGAGCTGCCTGCCGATCCATTGATCTGGAACATGGAACATGCAGCCGGTGAGTGCAAATTAAAGGCCTCGTGCTGCTGAGCCGCATCTCCGCTGTGGCAAAGGGGTAATTCGGGGAATTGATGAAACGATAGACATGGTATTGAAGCTGCATAGACAGTTGTATCATGCAAGTGAATGATACAGCTGCAGTTCGACGTGGCATCAATCGTGTTGCTAAGAAGTTTGGGCCTTTGCATCTCCCTTGCATGACGTAGCCCGCCTCTGTCTGCCTTCTGAGATATGCTGTGGGCCTGAGACATACGGACCCTTCGTGTCTCTTTCTCTGCGGGGAAAGCAGGGTTTACTGCAAAGGGGAACCTGCTCGTGTAATTCATTCAGCTCTAGATGTCCGCATGCATGTCTTGGAACTATCGAGGACTAAACGGGTCGTGATCACGACATGGTGAACACGGGGAAGAAATGCAGTCATTCGTGTGTAGTATAAGCACCAATCAATAAGGCTTCCAGTTAGATGGAGCATGGTGACTTCGGTGGAGTTGTGGACCGGGACGACGTACACGTTGTTAATGTTACCAAGCTACTCCGAATATTTTACTTGAAAGGATAGGCGTGGAGAATTTGGCAGCAAGTAAGAAGCTGAACTGCGGTCCGAAGAAGCCAAATAGCCATGAGACTACGCTGCGTAACAGAATGAAGCGTAAAATATAGAAGATCATGATACTTCGGAGAAGCACGGAAGGCTGTCAGTGACTTACGCTGTCACTTTCTAGCTTCTGTCTAGTATACAGAGGCTCTCTCTTCCAGATGTGGATGGCTGCATCCAAGAACGTGGTGAGAACAATGTGAATACAGTGATAGCTTGATTTACGCAGCCAATGCCAGAAGGGTCCAAGTCGAGCTTTATATTCGTTTTTCATGTGCAGGAGACCATATAACTTGTCAGAGTTATCTAGAGAAAGCCGTGAGCCGAGCAGTCCTTGCACACATGCTCTAGATGTTTCGACATGTCTTCTCCAGTCAGCGACTGCACCTTGTCTTGCAACATCCACCACCCTGATCGTGGCTGGAAAGTATCGAGTTCCCCGTATTCCTCGCTCGCAGTTGCTGTCACACCCACTGACCCGGCAATGATGGTGGTGTCGTAGTCCAGCATCGTATAACCGTCCAGAACCTTGACTGGAACCTCAACCACCGCTCGCGGCACGCTTTTGACGCTGATGACTGGAAAGACAACGTCGTCGATAATCAACCTCTTCCTATCTTCAGTTTCTTCAAATGAGCGGTCAGCCAGCTCTTTGTCCGTATACTGACGGATCATGCGGCCTTTCTCATCCCAGAAGCAGAACGCCGTGATCCAGCCTGACAGTGAGATGAGTCCCCGCCCTGAGCCCTCCTCTCCGGCTTCGTGCACTGCCCTCATCCAAAAGTCCTTGACGTCTTCATCGTTTGGTTGATCGAACGTTTCAATCATCTTCTCCAGCACCTTGGTGAGCAATCTTCCCCATTGCGCTGGTTCATCGCCAAAGGTCGCCAGCTTGGGCAGCCTCTCGAGGAGCTTCACCCAATCATCCCTCTCTCCTTCAAGCGTGACGCTTGGAAATCCACAGCCCATCACAATTATGTACTCAAAGTACGCCTTTGTAGTTGCCATCATGACTAGTGCCGCGACGCTTCTATCGTTGTCAGTGGTGGTTGTGAAGTCAGGCAGCATCCAGCCTTGGAGGTCCGGGTCCAGCACATTTTGTTGGATCAGTTGTGTAAACTTCTTTGCTGCCGTTGCAACGTCTAGTGTGGCCATTGTTTGAGGGTACATGTCGACGACGAGTTTCTTTCTGCCCTGGTGTTCGACAAAGTAGCTCCTCAGCTCCTCCGCATGGCCGTTGACGTAGAAGCTAAACTGGCCCATGATGGCCAGCCAAACATCGTCCGGTCGTAGGACGAGGTGGAGATCCTGTTGGAACGCGCGAATGATACCGTTCACGAAGCCATTGTTGTACGGTACCACCTTCAACGCCTCGTTGTGATCGACGTCGCCAAAGGAATGATGTAGGACTTTGCGTGACTCGGGGCCCTTTGGCTTATCGGTCATGACTTCTTCGGCGAACTCTGCCTCTGGGCCTGGTACGTATGTCCACGCTCTCGACGCCTCTCTGAGGAGGTTGGCGGATGACTTGACTGTCCCGTCTTTGTTTGATCCGACAATGTCAGGCTTTGGCCTGGTTACCACGCGTGCAGATGCCATGGCATAAACGCTTTCTGAGGCCGGCTCAGTTGCCCCAAGCTGAGTAACTCGAGAAGAAAATGGACTGATTGGCAGGATGCTGAGCAGCCCAACCAGGACGCAGCAAAACAGGGACAGCCTCCAGATCTGGCGCACGCCTTCAAGGCTTTGTCTAGAAGAAGGATCAGGATGAGGAGTCGCTTTTTTCATGGTCTCTCTTCTCTCTTATGTTGTTATTTGTCTCGCTTACTGCCTCCCTTCTTGAAGTTCGGTAAGGAATCCCTTAAGAGAGAGGGCCAAAGAAAGGCCAGATGGCCGTTTCTCGTATTCTGATACCCGTGTCAACAACGTGCGTGTTAGCCTAATCGCGGCAAATGGAAAAGACTCTGGGCCTGGAACGCCAAGCAACCGCCTTTATGCATATTTATGGATTGAGAAATACGATCTCAAAGACATGGAGCTTCAAGATAGAACTTCTAAGCTCGTTCGTCAAAATTAAGCCGAGTTAGTGTATGCAACCTTAAAATAAGCTGGTTGTAAGTGCAACCCCACCACGAGCAGAAGCCGGCATGACCTAGAACCTGTCCGATTTGCATGACTCGAGATGGGTCATTCTACTAGGATTCCTCTCACCTCCTCGCCGTCTGCTTGCCTGGCGTTGTGGCCTTTCGGGAAGAGGGACGGTTGAAGATCCAAGCATTCACCTCGCACAGCCACTCTCTGTTTTGCAGACTGCATCTCCTCTCAAGATTGATACAAACCCTCAAGTGGCTTGTACTCATTCGTATCATATATCTTTATAAGTCTATAACAGCACCTTTCCTATACCTGCGCCATGCATCCGCTACATGTGAAGCTCCGCTAATCTGCACAAGCCTTTTCTTCTCGATTGCCTGTATAACCTCCCTTCTTCTGCGGTGTGTCTTCGAGACGTCAAAATGTCTTTATAGTTCATAAAGGCCACTTTAAGCACTAGAAGCAGCAATTTTGGCCTTGTGAAGAGCGACAATCTCGGCCTCGTCCTTAAGACTCTTGATAGCAGCGGGACGAGTCTCAAGACGCTCCTTCCAGGCGGCAATGTTCTTCAGATGGCTTATGTCGACGCCAGAGCGGCTGTTCCACAGAGTGCCCCAGACGTAAGCATCAGCAATGGTGAGGTTCTCGCCAAACAGGTAGGGATTGACGGCCAGACGATCGTCAAGCAGCTTATAGGCCTTCTTTAGCTTGTTGGAGTTGAATTCGACGCCTTCAGGTGTCATGAGCTTGCGCATCAAAGGGATGTGCTTCTGGGCAATCTCGGTGGCCACTTGGACGAGGAATTGGTCGTACTTGACACGCTCCAGAGTGCCGGCTGCAGGGATGAGGCCGGCCTCGGGGTGCTGGTCGGCGAGGTAGGAACAGATGACGATGGTCTCGGAGATGACGTCCTGGTTCTCGTTGTCCAGCTTCAGGCAGGGGACGTAGAGGAGCGGGTTGACAGCAACAAATTCATCGCCATTGGAGGTGCTCTTGCCGACAACGTCGAAGTGGACTAGCTCAAGGTTGAGGTTGAGCTCGTTGGCAATGAGTTGCGTGGCACGAGAGCAGGTGTCGTGGGCAATGTATAGTTTGGGAGCCATTGAAACGGTAATGGGGGCTTGATTTGGTAAAGTGGTAGAAATCTTTGTAGTGGTGGTCACTCGAGCTGTTGAACCTTCTGAATAGTTCGAACTTCTAAGGATTGACTCCAGCTCGAGCACCACCCTTTTATACTTCGTTCATTACTCTTCGTTGCTGTTTGTTGCTCTCTAAGCCGATCAACAAACGTTGGTCACATCTCTTAGGTGCATCATCGATACTACGACCACTGTCGCCGCCATTATAGAATTCCAAAGGTAAACGGCAACTATTTGCACCATAAGCGCCCCTCAGGCGGGGAGAAGACGCTGGTTAAGCCACTCGAAAGACGATGGCCCGCAGAGTGACACAGTGCTAGCTTCCCTCAAGAACGATTGAGCTGGCAGCTAGAAATCTGGAAAGAAAATGCGACGACTAACGGGCTAGAGCATTTCAATATGTAAGTTCCAGAGTTTTGCGGTAAGGGAGCTGAGAAAGCTTTCATCTATCTCCAGTCACAGAAGCAGCGGACCACACGTATGATATAATGATACCGCCAGCCATAAATGAGACATGACTCCGTCGTTTCTCACCCGCACTTGCAGCGGTGATCCCCTCATACCCTCCTGCATCCTCTTGAATGCCGTTACACCGACCGCGCCCACCAACATCGTCCCCGTCTTTGTCATTTCCAGGACTTCAGCTTTGATGGGCATTACTATACCATTCCTGTTGAAGCCTCCTGACTTGACTCGTCGTAGGCCATCCCGTATCCGCCTCGACATCCTGCAAAAGCTGGACCACGGCATCTCTCTCTCTCGGCTCCTCTAAGCACTGCCTAGCCAAGAACAGCGGATGTACTAAGTTAATCCTGGTAGTAGGTCCTGGCCGCGACGCCGCTATCCCACATATCTTGACACAGTGGTCTTTATACCCAGCAACCTTTCTCTGTAATCTTTCAGCTGAGCCAGGGGGTTCAAGTGATCGATCGGTTTTGCGAGCAGCAGAAGCACGCGGGCGAAGTAATAGTACGATAGAGTAGCCGCAGATACAGCAGTTGGAAAGAGGATCTCGTCAAAGACTGGCTCCATCAGGCTTTGTGAGAGAGTCAAATGGCTGGAGAGCATGTAGTGAGTATACGGCTGGAAATGTAGATCCAGTTGGCTGTGCCAATGATCAAGAGCATCCCAGAGGTCGTGCCAACTACTACGCTTTACACTTTTTGTGCCACCATCAATACTTTTAGGAGTAGCGGTACAGTTGTTGATGACCTCGGATATCAGGGGGAAGAGCTGTGCCCAGGGTGTTCTGGTCATGGTTGCGGATTCGCTACGATCATTGGATCCTCTGCTAGATACAACCGGACTGCTGCTATGCAGGGTTTCAAGTTCTAGAGATGGTTTCTGTTTTTGGTCATACAGGTAAGGAGGCTCGGGGCATACAGTGCCAGAAGCTGGCTAGAGCTGCAGGGCTACCGTGGTATTTGAAGGGAGCGAATTTTGAGTTGGACAATGAGCTGTCGTTGAGAGGTTTCATGAGACTGCTCTTGATCCTATTTATACGTCTGCATTGCTGTTAGATCTTTTCGCTTTGTCCATCGGTGGATTATGGTCAACAAGATTGGATGTAAACCAGGCGGTAAAGGGACTTACAACTGCCTCGGCAGATATGGGACACAAATTTGACATGCCAATAGGAAGAAGGCACTTGCGTATGTAGCTCATCATAATCGGAGTCGAGCATTTCATGCGTGGTCAATATGGCATTACTTGCCATTACAACCTCCGCCAACATAGGGGAGCCCGCCTCGCGTAGAGCGGATTCACTGGCGTTGTGAAGAGGCAGATTGGTAGCCGCTTGGTGATAGTAATTAGCAGCCTTGAACGCCCAGTCGGCATGGACCGCACTGGGATATAGCTCCGTCAAGGTCAAGTTGCTCCTCACGCAGCTATGGGTGGGACGAAAGCCACCGACATTGCTCAGGTGCTTTGCAGCCAACGTAGCAATGGTGTACTTTATCGTAGCGTGAGACCCTACAAGGCGAGGCATATGGGTCTGAAAGAAGCGACTGTCTCCAAAGATGTCCATCCTATCACATGCATGGGTTTGTGAGCCTGAGATATGTTTTAAATGAAAGGCAACGTACCAAGGGGCCAGGTTGTCCGTATAGTGCCGAAGAAGAAAGACCATCTCCTGCTTACTCTCCAGCATAAGCTCCGAGGCAAGGGCGGCAAGTCCCGCTCCAAAGTCATTGCCCGATCCAGAAGACAGCAACTCTGGAGATACCTCAGGGCCAGCCCCAGAAGCCCCGAAGTGATCGGGCTGCGGATCACCAACGTGGGCTTGACTAATATCATCATTTTCAATATCAAAGGCCAAGTTGTCTGGGAGCGATGATTCTGGGTTCAGGTCCTATAGGGCGATTTTGGATTCCTTCGAAAACGTTAAGACCGAATTGTCCAGCGGTTCCGGGCCCTGGTCGCTGGTTGTGGTGTGACGGATCTCTGAAACAGCATCCGCGTGAGTCTGGATCTCGAGGCGCTTTTTTACCAGACTCACGATTTCCTCTGATCTACATTGGCTAGTCAAGGCTAAAGCAGAACGGGAGAATTCGGACTGGTGAGCTATAGATCCCCATTAAGCCGTCAACGATTTGTTCTCTGACACACACGGCAAATATACAGGCGTAAATGCGAAGGTCGTATTAACAACTTCCCCAACTTTACCCCCTATCACAAAGGGAAGAGATCGCTTCACAATCCATTTCATGGCATTATTCTCGCAGAAATTAGATGCCATCCCACTCCTCTTCTTGCATGGCTGGCCGGGTAGTTTTATGGAAGTCCATTCAATTCTGGAGATTACTGTCCAATCGCTACACTCCCGAGACACTCCCCTATCATATTGTTGTTCCTTCATTGCCTGGCTATGCTTTCTCTTTTCACTTACACGAGACTTTCAGCTTCAGAACATTGCAGGCATTATGAACACACTGATGCTCGAATTGGGATTTGGCAATGGATATGCAGTGCAAGGAGGTGATATTGGGAGCAAGGTCGCGCGTGTTATGGCTGCAACTTTTGACTCGGTCAAGGCTATCCATAGTAAGTGGGCAAGAGAGAACATCACAGAGGCCGCTTGCTCATTATTAGTACAGTCAATTCTGCATCATGCCCGAGCCAGAAGGGATTAAAGACAGCCAAATCAATGACCCCGAGAAACGGGGTCTGGAGAGAGCTGCCGCGTTTCGAAACTCGGCTCGTCGCTGGAGAGCATACCACTAAGCCCAGTACGATTGGACTTGTACTTGCTCCAAACCCGATTGCACTCCTTGCATGGTGAGCAGATTCTAATTTTGGTTCTTCAAGGGTTATCATGACTAATGTTGTTTTTGGTAGGATCGGCGAGAAGTTCCTTGCCTGGACCGATGAGGATCCCCCTCTTGATGAGGTTTTGGCCTCAGTCACGCTATACTGGCTGACTGAGACCTTCCCACGATCTATATATCCATACCGACAGGTAGGATTACTCTTCTCAAGGTGATTGAGCAGCTGCTGACCACTCACTAGTTGTTTACGCCCGGCATCATCGGGGCTCATGAGAACCCTCAGTGGCACATCAACAAGCCCTTTGGATACTCTTTTTTCCCAAAGGAGCTTGCACCGATTCCCCGGGCTTGGGTTGAAACAACTGGAAACCTGAATATCTACCGTCAGCATGAGAGTGGTGGCCATTTTGCCGCCATGGAGAAGTCAGAAGACTTGCTTGCTGACGTTGAGGAGTTTCTTGGCCTGGTGTGGGAGAATTGACCGTCGGCTATATCGCATGCTGGCGTTGACACACCTATATCTAGTTCGCGAAGTGGTAGCAACGGATGTGGAGCGTAAAGTGGTTCGATGAATGTCCATGTTACCAATGTTCAGCTTACTGCACAATAGACGCCTGATACTGCAATGGCGGTGTCTTACGGGTGCTGTGCACAATAGGCCAAAGAGAGTTGGAAGCGCAGAAGATTGGTTCTGATAACAAGACAAATTATTGCAGGACTCAAAGAAAAGGAGGCCCGTGACGCGTTACGTGTGTGCGTACCCCATCAGTGTGTGGCATTGTGGGTTGCAGTATTACAGGTGACTACACTGCACATGCGTGACAACACTCTAGACGGTGATAAGTCGGATCTGACAATGCATAGGGTGATATTTTACCGGAGCATGAACACGAAGATAGTCTGTTGATTGGCGAGTCTAGATGCGGAACTCCTCAAAAAATCAGGTCTTGATGCTGGTCACAACGGGCTGTCGGCATGGCAGGTCACACCGAAGACATATGCGGGACCGGCCCGACGAGGGCCTACCTTAGAGAGGAAGGTGATGGACGGATAACCTTAAGATGACGGTAATAATGGCATCAGCCGTGTCCAAGGCCAGAGGTGCTGGCAGCCGTATCAGAAGAAGGAGGGAACAAAGACTATACTGTGATTCGAACTCGTGCCGCTCGTTCATGAAATCAAGATTGAAGTGTTTGCTTTATCTATAAAATAATCAGGAAATAAGTAAACATATCAAGTTGAGTTATAAGTGCTGTGGTGGTTTCCTGACGACATAGGTAACTATAAAGTCCTATTTAAACCCGTGCCGTCAGTTACCAAAAGTGGAGCAAACAGATAGTGAGATTCAAACTTCTCCTCAACTATCTGGACACGGTCTGCCACCTATCCACAGAGTAGCACTTCGAGTATGGCCATCTTGGGTCTTTTGCCAAGTTTTGGCGGGAGACTCTGCACGTCTGCGGGCGCAAGCAACGGGCGCCAGCAACGGGCGTGGGCACAGGTGAAAGCAAAGCTTGGCCAAGAAACAGTCAATTGGTTTTGCCCCTGAAAGATCGTAGAATATACTCTATAAAAACTATATATATCAGTGTCTTGACCATCTCAGCGATGTCCAATTCCATAACACAATCAACACAATACAAGCCAACAAGATCAACAAGATCAAACGCAATCACAGTCACAATGCTTTCACACACTCTGATCTCTCTTTTGGGCCTCGCCGCCACGGCCCTCTCTCAAACTGCCAATATCAACTTCTATGATACCGATGATATCTGTCGATCGGGTCTCTTTGCGTCTTGCACAAACTTGCCGCCAAACAGCTGCTGCGCTTTGGCATCCAACCAGCTTGCAACCTGCATGGATTTCGCAACGACTACTCCAGGTGGAATTGGTACCGCTTTCTCGTCTCAAGGCGGCAATCAGTGTGCCGTGGTCCTTGAGAGACTGAGCAGTGGGGTCTGTGTCTGCCCCAATGGATTCCCAGTCATTTCTGGCGGTAGCTGGAACACCTCAGCTTCAAGGCGATCAATGGATGATAAGCCTTGTGAGACGACGATTCAGCCTAATGCCTTTGGATGGACTGAGAATGAGTCAACCTGGATGGTGTACAATGAGGACGAAGCAACTTATACCAACGTTGCTGACGCTGTTGCAAACGGCACTGCCAAGACCGATATTGGCAAGTTCATCAGGGAGCACGGACAACAGGTCTAGGCGGCTGTCGGTTCATGACATGTTTCAACATAGCATGGTTCATGGAGGACGTTCAAGCTACGGGATGGAAGGCAGAGTATCTGTGGAGATTTGTCGGACCGCTACGCAAACAGGAACGGTTCTAACTACCTACTTTGGCTGTCTAGGAGGACAGTATAAAGTCATATGTATATATGCTTCAGCTTTGTTCATTCATTGCAAAGCTACATATATAGCCAGTCATTACTCTATACTATAGTACAAGTCATAACAAATACAAGGTCTAGCTAGCCATATTTACTTGAAACTGCCTGGTGATTTATTCAAAGCTACCTCTTCAATACCGTAGAAACTTCTACATGGAAGAAGTGGATGCCATGACAATCCTTTGTTTGGGGAGGTATTTCATGCGATGAAGCCCGGAGATACCCGAGGTCATTGATACATCCTTCATTGGTTAAAAGTGTTGTATACTTTGTCCTTATTTAGTTGCTCTGTGTCTCTGTAATGCCCTCATGAAGGTCATCAATTCAGGCCGACTCCAAGGCTCTACGCTTATCCTTATTCCATTGTTCAAAATCCGGTGCTGTGAATATCTTGCCATCTATCACTTTCCGTATCGTGCCAAGAGCAACCACAATCCATAGAAGCATGACAATGATCGCGGCAATCTATATGCGCATCGGTTAGCTCTCGTATACGTCTCTCTATAACCAATACCACGAATTGAGTTGCCCGGAGAAAGCAAAGGCACAACTTACTGTTCCCAGAACATTGAAGAATCGAGATGGCATTTCCTGCCCAATCGCAATCGTTGCACCAGCCCATACACCAAGAGGAAAAGTAAATCCCCACCAGCCAATGTTGAAGGGAAACCTGCGTCGACTGATGCTGGCCAGCGCAAAGAAAATCCATGCCAGGCCATTTGCCCACATGATAAACCCAACTATCCAGCCCACAACGTACAATATCTCTCCAGAATGAGTGCCCATCTTTCCCAAAGTCTCAGTCTTTGGAAACACCTCGGCAGCGACCTTCCCCAGCTGTATAATTGCAAATCCGCCCTGGCCAAGGGGCGCCACGGGTAAGAACATGGAGACGATGGCTTCAGGCGGCGGTAGGCTGTGCATTGAGAGGCGTTGAAAGTAAATGACCAAGCAAGTGAACGACAGTGGCATTGCGGTGCCCCATAGGAAGTAGGATGTGATGAGAGTCCAAAGAGCATGCTGTTCATTTTCGAGGGCTCCGGCAACGACGGCGCCGATGGCAGACGCGACGATGGCAGCGGCGACGGGGAGAAGCCAGGTTGCAGAAAGCGTGGCCAGCTCTACATGATGGACATGCATACTGAAGGTGCTATTAGTTGAGAAGATTCCTCATGACCGTCTAGGTCACTCACATAATGAATGGGATAACGTAGGAAATGACAATGGATATAGCTACGTCAATCCACCACAGCGCCCATGCCTATTGACGAAAGTCAGTATATTCGTTTTGTTGCCATCGTACACTAGGACTTACCAGAGTAACCGCCCACTCACCCCATGCGGGCACGCAGACCAAGACAATCATCTCAATGATTGTGCAGAGGGCAATCGGGAAGGCTCCCAGGAGCAGAGGTACAGCAGGATGCCGAATCATAGTCATAAACAGCCCTGGATATGCAAAGTATCGGAGCGCGGATATCAATGTGAAAAGAACAAAAAGCGCTATATTTAGAACGAAAAGGACGATCGAGATCCAGTATAACCAGGTTCCGTTATATGGGAGGTTGTGAAGAAGGATTGCAACGATACCGGTACCCATATTGATTGTAAACCACCTAAGAGGCTTTAGACACAAGTCCAGAAAGGAACTCAACCGTATTCTTTCGCCAGAACATCGACAGACAGTGTAATGATGGATATCTAGAACAAGAACTTACGCCGGAGTGAATGCGCGGACGACAATCCATATATTCTTCTCGCGCTTCTGGAGAGAAGTCGAGTCCACATCTTCTATGTCTACTTCGTTCTGCAGAACCTTTGCTGCTGGATCTGTTGCGTCATCCTCTTGTGGCGGTGACAAAGTCGTCAAAGAGGCGACGATGTTCTCCGCGGCATGCCTCGAGACAGATGTAGCGCCGATCGCATCAACAGCAGACGATGCTCCTCCCGCGGATGACAGCATGGCGGTTCCGATCTACCGGGACATGAAGAGAGCGTCGGCGCAAAGAGAGGTAGTACGTTGAGGCGACCAAAGGATTCTAGGCCAGAACATCGAAGTACAGCCAACGTCAAACGCGATTGAAGGAATATATATATATGCCGGCATATAGCGTCAAACTGCAACATCGTAGGCTCGCAATCCCTGACTAGGTAAGTGGAACATTCTCGGTCCAGATCGCTTGACTTACTCGACTCCTCTTGACACCCGCCGTACTACAAGTCATCTCGAGCTCCGTGTTTGGTAAAAGGGTCCGTCACTTCGTTGAAGAAAGCCCATCAGCCATGTCCAAGAGCCAATGAGACTCAATCGTGGATTGCCATAGCAGACACCGAGCAGCACAGTCCCCGGCCTGGCCGCTCTTACGCTCCATCGACCGCCATTCTTGAGTTCTCCATGAAGAAATAACCTCCGCAATAAGAATTAAGCATCTCCGGTTACAGAGTCTTAGAAGCGCAGAAACGGCGTGTTATTGCCTCTGTATTTCCGCAAGGCCTGCCACTTATACCACAAAGTGCTAGTAAGGCAATTTCCATTATTAACCGCAATCGTTCCTGGAAACTCAATTCCCGCGGAACCTATACAAATCCATACTCCGTTACATGGATAACTCGGCTTGAGCGTCTTTCTTATTACGATGTATAGCTTAGGGCTTTCTGCTCGTAAAGGACCATAAACACTTCACTACTCCAAACCCGCGGATGAATTCTGTTACAGAAATTGATGTGTCAACCAGGCAAATTCCAAGTCTTTACCACCGAAGTTACAGGCGTGGTTCATCAGTCTCGAGACCCTACGGATTTCAGTAGCAAGCGTCAAACTCACATACAGCCACAGCGAGTCCTCAAATCTCGCAGAAAGATGTGGCGTGTATACACCGGCAGATGGAAAACCTGGTTGACTGGGTTGTCCAGGCCTCTGCTTAAGCGGAAAGCTTTGCACCAATCGTGATCTTTATGGAGCTGTGACCCGGGGTTTGAGTCTCTAACGGCAGAAGTAATGCGACGACTTCCTGGCCTTAGACGAGATATCTAGGTGCTTTGAGCTTGACCTCCAGGCTGCAGCACACCTTGATTGAATTGTAGGTACGCTGCAGTACAAGAAGTCGCCTTCGTCGGCTTCAGGCCGTCTCAGACATCCCGCTCTTCAGCGAGTACCGCTGCAGTCTCACGACGACAAACCTCCACAATACTCACAATGCCTGGACCAACGAAGCAGACAGAAACCAGCATCGCCACGAGTTACACCTCATTCCAGTATTCCGCCTAGTTAACAATGGCGCAACTCGCCCGGAATAGATCTGTGTATGTGACGCCTGGCAAAAGAAAGGACCAGAATGCCCTCGTACAGGCAACAAAAAGGAGCAAAAAAGGCAAAAACATACAACAGCCGGTGTTCGCCAGTGGTCACCCACCTGACTACTAATCTGCCTCTCATTGGCTTGACTCTGGGAGAGCAGACGGGACCCCGAGTTTTCCACTACCTATGGTCGTATGTGCTTTGTTATTTACTGCAACAGATTATATGCGACACAAGATGTACGATGTCTCAGTCAACAAACCGCAGCGCGTCAAGGCCCGCACCTTCACAATGGCATCTTGCGAGATTCTTCCCTTCCCTTCAACATGTTCACGTCCGCAGCTATGCACCGGGTTCTGCAATTCTCAATGCTGCAGTCGACGTAGCAAACAGAGGCAACAGATGCTCCTGATTTCGAATATTGCGTGAAGCCGCAGAAATGGCGATAGAGCTGGAGCTGCTGAGCGAGACGGAGCTGCAGTCAAAAGCTCCAGCTGGGCGGCGCTTCCCCGTGGGCTGTCCGACGCTCGACCTGGCGGCAACCTGGGACCAGGACGACAAGAATTTGCTCGTCTATCGGCCTCCAGGCCAGATTGTGTCCAAGATCCATCAGGCTGCTGCTCCGGGCGAGGCGGCGCCTGAAGTGTGTTCTGTTTCGTGGAGACCAGATGGTAAACAGATGCTGGCCCGTGATATATGAGTCGTCTCCTAGATGCTGAGATATCCCAGGCCAATTCCTTGCTCTAGGCTGGAGCGACGGCGTGGTGCGGCTGATGGGCCTGGAAAACAACAAAGCTGCCCATCAGATTCCCGTATGCGACAAGACCGAGGCAACCATCACGCACATCGGCTGGTCAACCGCCATCATCGCCACCAAGGCGGACAACGCCGTCTCCAGCAAGCTCGCGGACCAAGTCACCGAGGGATGGGCCGAGCAGGGCGGCAAGGCGCCGCTGGACCTGCCCCAAGAGCTCACCTTTCTGGAGGTTGAGACGGCGCTGCCCAAGATCAGCCCCTTGCCGATGAGCAGTGCGGGCGCAGGGTGAGTCGCTCCCACTCACCTGGCATGACTTATCTTTCTCATGTTGGACATAGAGAGGATGCCACCGTCTTTACGCTCCGCAGCGGCATCGACTTTCTCTTTCGCACGCCAAAGCGGGACACCTACAACCAAGTCAACGTCATGATCGTGGGCACCAGCGACGGCAAGCTGCAGCTGAGCATCTACGACTCCTTCATCATCGGCACGTTCCCACAGCCAGCACTAGACTCTTTCGCATCGAGTCCGTCTACTACGGCCTGCATGATACACCACGCATCTCATCCGCAAGTATCAACCCACGCGCTCATATTTGCAGAAACCCAAACTGAGCCGCAAGAGCTCCATCTCGTCCCCATGGACCTGCCCTTCCTCTCCTTTTCTCCCATCAACCTGTCCCTCTTATCCTCAAAACTCACCACATTGCAAGCCTTGCTGCGGTACCTGAAGCAGATATCGCTTCACATGCAAGTAGAGTGGAAGAATGCAAGAGAGCTCCCGGCTCGCTTCATCCGTAGCGTACAGGGCGACCTCGAGGGAATGGAAAAGGGTCCCAGGGACATTGTTTCTGCCCTATTCCACACTGCAATGACTGGCCATGCTTACCCTGTCGTACACGAGTGGCTCGTCGACAGCCTAGCAGAAAGGGTAGGCCAAATGACTTACTCTCTCTCTCTCTCTCTCCAGAACACACATATACTGATGAACTATGCAGGGCCACAAACGCTGGGACAAGGCCGTCGTCTCCGGCCTCGAAGGCCTCCGCAGCCTCGTCCACCAGCACCTCCTCCCCGCCCTCGAGCGCTGCGCCATCATCCTCAGCCGCCTCCGCGGCCTCGCCCGCTTCCACATCGACCGCGAGGACATTGGCCTCTCGGTCCCGCACCTCAACCGCGTCCTCGACGTCATCAGCTGCCTGACCCTCGTCGGCCACAAGATCCTCGTCCACACGATGGACGAGCTGCAGCACTTCTCCGCCTTCTCCGCCTGGCTCCGCTTCCAGATTGACCAGCTCGCGGCCGGCTCCAGCGGCACCGCTTCAAACGACGAGCTCACCGAAAAGGAGGCCATGATGGACCACACCAAAGTCCTCACCTACATCGAGCGCTACCTCACAAACAGCCCGCTCGACATCTTTCTCGACGACATTCCCAAGGACGACTACGCCTCGGACTGGAAATCCATCGACGACGGGTTTCCCTCGTCGCTGCTCGACGTCCTGGACAAGCAGCTCAAGAAGCACGAGGCCGGCCGCGGCCAACAACAACAACAACAACAACAACAACAACAACAACAACAACAACAACAACAGCCCGGTAGCATGATGAAGGCCCTCCCACACGTCGACTTCCTCGTCAACTACGCCACGACCTGGTCCAACCGCATCTTCAGCAGCGTCGCCGAGGCGAAGCGGCGCAGCGTCCGCTTCGGCACGCCCCTGAAGCTGGCCATCGGAGGACAGCATCCCATTACCAAGATGGACGTCAAGATGTGCAGCGTCGACAAACGAGCAGGCACAATCTTCACGGCGCTCGCGTCCCACCAGGAACCGCACAGGGTGCATCTTTTCCGGGTGAACATGGCTATTACGAACGGCATCAGCGATAACCAATCCGTGGAAACATGCGTCGTCGATCTCGGCACCCGCTCCCTCGTGGACTTGAAGTTTCTCGACGACAAGACTCTCATCCTCTTCTGCACCAACAAAGGTAACCCTTTTCAATTCCCACATCAAGCCTCTTGGCCAAGTTTTCTAAACACCATGACAGACAATACCCCCCTCATCCTCTCCATCCCCATCCAAGACGACCATAAACTCTCCTACAGCACCTACGACCCCGCGCATCACACAGAGGTCGCCTCCAAAACAAACACCAAAGTCTTCCACAGGTTCACCCTACCTACGAGCCACCACGCGCTTCGACCCGTTCGCATGGGGGTTCACGAGAAGAGCAACGTGCGAGGGGACTTGCCGGCCCGGATCTGCCTCTTGGGTGGGAACCGTACAACGTGGCGCACGTATGCACTTCCGTCCCAGGGATAAATAAATAGGATGTAGGCATGTTTGTTCATTGTTGGTTTCTGCCACTTTTGGCGTTTGTGGTATTTGATAGTGACAGGAGTCAAGTAATGTGGACGTACACAGGCAGGGCTCATGACGCAGAAAGGGGAGCAGATGCAGACAACAGCAGGTTTCCATTGCAGACCTTTCACTATAGACTTTACACATTGTCCTAACCCTCAATATAAGACCAGATACAGGACATGCATACCAGCAAGAAGAAGAAAAAAAACAAAAGACATAGAATAGAATAGGACAATGACAGAACAACAACGCCAAGAAAAAAAAAACCAAGACTCCTAATGTCCCCAAATCGCCCAACTCCCCTCATTTCTTAGGCTTCGTAATGTCAAAAAACTCCGTCAGCCCCTCCACGACCGCCTCGACATTCATATTCACCAGCGGCATCCGATCGTACGAGTCATCCGTCATGATGGCCACCAGCGCAAGATACCGATCCACCTCGCGCAGCATAATCGGCTTGTGGCTATCGTGCAAGACGAGACAGCTCTCCGCCGTGGGGCACGCGACCTGGTCCTCGAGCTTGGTGTTGATGGGCTCGCCCTCGAGGCGCTTGCGGCTGTCGTCGCTGCGCTGCCACGTGCCGTAGATCTCGGTAATGTCGATAATGACATCAATGTAGTCGCTGCAAATCTCGTAGCTGGCCATGTCGGCCGTCGCGGTGTCCGTGGCAATGTAAATCTTGGACAGCACGTCAAAGAGGTAGGCCTTTTCGAAGCGGCACGTTCGGCAGAGGTTGGTGAGCATGGACTCGAGCGTTCCCAGGCGCGGGACGAGCTTCTGGATGACTTTGCTAAAGGCCTCGAAGATGGAGTGGTTGTAGATGGAGGTGAGGTGGAAGGTGACGGGCGCGTTTTCAAACCCGTGGTCGGACAGCTCGTCCTGGATGCGAATGGTAATGTCTCGCTGGATGTCGAGCTTGTAGTCGTCGGATAGCCCGTCCACCTTGTGGATAAACACCTCGATGTTGATGTTGGGATACGTGCGCTGCAGGGAGAGGATGGTGGCGTTGAGGCGCGCAACAGCTTCGAGATAGTCGTCTTGGGCGTCAATGACCCAGATCAGGGCGCCGATTTCGCCAAAGATGGCCTCCATGTCGAAGCTGGGGTTGTCGAATACGTCAATCTGTCCGGGGAAATCCCATACTTGAAAGTCCATGAAGGATCTTTTGGCCTCGCCATGTTAGTCCGAAGAGTAAACGACTCGAGACAGAGTCGAGGGCACTCACGCCATGGTATCCTTTTGTATCCGCGCGGTTGACTCGAGGAATAACGTCTCATTGGGGGCAAGCTTGTGGAAGACAACACTCGAGATGGACGACTTTCCGCTCCTATGAGTTGGATCCAGCCATCAGTAAAAGGCTTCAACTTCGTGCGGCAGATTCGTCTTGGTAAGAGCACAAGCGGACTCACCGTCTCTGGCCCATCAGCAGCAAACGCGGCTTTCCCTTCTCTGGCACGCTGCCTGGAGCGTCCGCCGGCTTCAGTGAGCCCTTTTTTATCGGTCCTTGAGTACTCTGGTCGTACAGATGCTGCAGTTTTAGCCTAGCTGGACTCATAACACCTGAACGATGGGGAGGGCGACGATGGCCAAGTGCTTCGAGCTCAGCTCGCTGCTTGTCTGCAGGCGAGCCGTAGATGGGAGGGCTGAGGGACATGATGTAGATGATGATTCGCTCTTGAAGCGGTCTGACGCGGTGCTAGAACACGTTGTCTGCAGCTTCAAGACCTGCACGCCTGCTCCACGCTTGTGGAAAGAGAGGTTGGGCGTTGTGGTGCAGTCTGATGAGGTAAAGACGGACTTTGCAGTGAGATTCAAGCGGAATGAGACGTCCCGGGCTCTGCCTTTGGGTCCGGCTGTGGTTGGCTTTGACTGTCTCTGTATGTGTATCCGTGTATGTGTGTGAGTGTGTGTATGTATGTGTGCCTCCCCAGCTCTCTCTCTCTCCTTCTCTTCCTCTTCTCTGCTTCTCTCTCCTCGTCTTCCTCTCTCTTTCTCACACACACACAAAAACAAACAGTGACAGGGGCCGCAGCAGCAGCAAGCAGCAAGCAGCAGCAGGCGAATCATGCACGCTGCCTCACCGGTCGTCCCTTTGCGCAGCCGTGGCGTGCCTCAGCGCAACGCACAGCTCAAGCCACCAAAAGCCGCAAGGAGCCCATTCGCAAAGCCCTGTCAGCGCGCAAAGCGAGAAAAGCGCCCCCCCAGAAGGCCTCTCAGAGACTTTCGGCCGAAGCACGGTTGCCAGTCGCAGAGAGGGAAATCAGGCATCAAAGTGACACGAGCCCCATCACGCCCGTTTCTGCCCTCGTCACACGGACTGCCCGGCTCTCGCTCTCTCTCTCTCTGTCTCTCGCTACCTCTCTTGCATTTGCTGGTCTCACTGCTGCCGCGGCCCTGCCCAACGAAGCCTACGGCCTAGGTAGAACTAGACTCGCTCCGGCGGCCCAAGCGAGTCGAGCCAGAGAACCATGCTCTCTCTCTCTCTCTCTTCACCCGGTGCCCACTCGAGCTGCAAATGTATCTGTCATCCCACGTCACCGGCCAGCGCGGAAAAAAAGGGCGAGGGAGCAGACGAGACCGGTCACGAGACAGGGGGGTGTCCCTCAGCTACCAGACGGTTTGTTTGCTCTGCTGCCAACGAGCCCGCCGGACCAACTAGGCCAGGGAGAAAGGAACAAAGAAAATCATGCAGAAAAAGCAATAGAAAAATGGAATTACAGAAGAAGAAGAAAAAAACTAGCAGGGCAAAGGACAGCTCGTGGTTCGCCGCGATGCAGCGACATGTGGGTGACACACAGCAGCACGGAGCAGAAGCCCTGCCCATTCATTGCTGCGTGTGACAAAGGGCGCTTATCGAGACAACACGCATGCAACCGGCAATCCTGTCGCAACGAGGGCTGAGAGGGTATATAAGAGCAGCGAATGGGAGCAGCGAGAAGCGAAGCCCAGGGATGAGAGGAAGAAGGGGGAAAGAAAAGAGACAGAAGAGAGCAAAAATCTCACCTCCATGGTTGCGCTGACGGAGCCGACGAGGGCAAAAAGGTGCTGTGATCTGCTTCAAGGGCCAACGAGCCAATCGAAGAGGCGCGGGTTTGCGAAGCCGGTGAGCCGCACGCTGCACGGCTCCCTTCCAGATGCAAGAGAAATGAGGGCGAGGAATTCCGAATGCGCCCGTCGCGGTTGCTTGTTCGCGTGTCGTTCTTCAGGGGGGCCGGTTGGGAGGCGGCAATGGGGGGGGTGGTTTTTCGCAGGGGGGGGGAGGATGAAGACGCTCTTGAGGTGTTACAAGCTTGCGATGCGATTTGATTGATTGGGAGATTTTGGATGATTGACGAGGATCGACAAGAGGCTCCATTGGATTGAGAGCTTGGGTTGCTGCGAGCTGCGTAGGTAAGCAGATGGCCGCTTTTTGGTGGCCGAGGCCGCCATAGGGGGGGGCTTCGGGTGCGCTAGGTAGAGCTGGGGGGCTGGAGTCCGCTGGAGCTGGAGCTGCTCAGCGGCTGTGGGGGGGTGCGGGTTAGTGCATGTCGGCTTCTGTCTCCAGGTGTGGTTGGGCGCTGGAGTCGCTTGCTGCGGCGACGGCATCATTTAGGTAGGTTCAATGCGAGCTAGAACCTCTGATTCAGCCTCAGTCTGTTTATCTGGCTTGTCACGTTTTGGATATAACTGTAACCAGGAGTCAACAGGAATCGTCTACCTCAGTAAATTATATTTGTTAAGGAGCCTACATGGAAAAAAACATACAATAATTGAGCTATTCTCAAGGACTACTTAATTGGGACTGAGACAGTATTCCTATGCCCCCGATCATATTACAGCAAACATGACTTAAACGGCCATCCACAAGACACTCCTCATCTCACCATCACAGACTACAGCTTAAGCTCTGGAAAGACGAGACAAGACACACCGGGACTTCCAACGCTTTCAAAATTCATTCTCAGTACTATACGTGAGAATATACTCTGCAAATCTCTCGCCGGCTGTCATCAACCCAGCTCTCTGCAGATAGAGTAAATCGTTTATACGCAACGCATCCAAAACGCCATTGATGATACGGTAATGTCCCATGCGCTTCTCCTATAAGCAGTCCTCCAAAACCCTCCCCAGACGTTGTGATTCTGCCACAGACAACAACACTTTCTGACCAACAACGCCTCAATCCCGACGAAAGAGAAACGAAGAAAGAAAAACGCATAATGCTCCATCCATGCCGTTACACATACGCCTTCTGTACTCGCACCTTGGGCGACGCCAGACCCGCCTCTGCTTTCCGCTTCCCCAGCACCGGCTCGGGCGTGCGCCGTGACAGACCAGGCGTAGAGTCTCGGTCCCTCGTCGCCTCGGCGCGACACGAGGCATGATATGCTCGGTTGCCCACCAGGACCGTGTCGAGCCACACCCACTCCTGCACCGTGTCGAACCATTTGTTTTCGAACCTCTCCTGGCAAATCGGACACACGGTGTTGATGCCGCTGCTTGGATCGGGCACGAGAATGTACTTGGGCCCTTCCGAGTCCTTGGATGCTTGAGCAGACTCTTCTTTGGAGGACACGTCATGTATCGCATCGACCGCTTCGCGAGCCTTGACCCAGTCCTGCGTATCGAGTTAGCGTCCATATCTCTCAATGACTCAAGATTGGAGAAGAGGGTAAAACTTACCTGCTGGTCAACGTACCAGCTCCGGTGGGTGCCTCGCTTCTCGGCCTCGGTGCTCCGCTGGTGTACCTTGAAGTGCCAGTCCATGTGAGCCGTCTTCTTCCGCCTGCCCTCCTCGTCCGTCTTGAACCGCCGACCACACTGCGTGCATGGAGGTCCGAGATCGTCATACAAGGCGGCGACAGCATCGGGTCGGAATCTGTAACGTCCGGTCAGTAAATTGTGCATGTCACCAGTGGGGGAGGAGACCAAACTCACTGCAACTTGAGAGCGGTCGAATCCAGTCCAGACGAGCCGCCCAGTCCATCTACACTCGACCGCCCAGAATCCGGCTTATGGGCAGCCAGCAAACTGGCAATGCTCGCCGACAGGCCCGGAGGGAACAGTGACGGCGGTGGTGCAGCAGGCGGTGCTTGGCTTGGGGCCGGGACATTCGTAGGTGTCGCGGGTGGCAGCAGACCGGCCGCTCGAAGCTGTTCTACCAAGGACAAGGCATTCGGAGCCGGAGCCGGAGCCGCCGGCATCGCTGGTGGCATCGCTGCCGCCTTGGGCGGTTCGGTATGGTTCATCGGTGGTGACCGTATGGGGACACCAGCAAACGGAGGCTGGGGTGTTGTGTTCTGAGAGCTCGCCGCCTGCATTCCCAACAAAGCCGCCATCGCCCCTTGTCCCAGCAATTGATCAAGAGTCACCGGCGCGGCAGGCTGGGCTGCCGGCACAGGTGTCGGAGTTACGGAGGCTGAGGGAGGATGCACGGGAAGCGCCAGAGGCGGCGCCGTTGCCGGTGCTGGAATAGGGGGTGTCGCAGTCGCAGAATTACGGGCCAGGGGGGCCCTTATGGTCACGGCAGCAAGTTCGGTTACTTTGTTCTTAATGAGCTCAAGCTGGTCTGGTGGCAGAGTCGAGTGCTGCAAAACAGTCTGGAGGTCCAAAAGTGCCTTAAGCCTGCTCTGGACGCCGCCATCATGCGGATTCTGCGAGAACTCGGCCCTCATCGCAACAATCAGTTTCTGAATGTCACCGTTCAACGTCTCTACGCTTATTCCAGAGGGCATGGGCAAGCCTGAGCCGTATGAGCCGTGATAGGGGACAGGAGTCGAGTTGTAAGAGGCCGCGGTAGATGGGGGGAGGTATGGAACAGGCTGTACAGAGGAATGTTAGTTTCATTGTCAAATGCAGCCATTGGAAGGGACACAAACCTGCTGTCCAGGAAGAGGTACATGGCCGGGCACCGGCTCACCAGGATGCCCTCCGTTAGCGAATGGGTGAGGCTGAGGCGGAAAGCTGTTGCCGGGCTGACCGGCGAATCCACGCATCCCCGGCGGCGTAGGGGTATTCCGGTGAGGAGGGAACATTGCTGATCGAGGCCGGCCAGGTATGGCGCTCTGGGTCTGTTGAGGCATGCTCGCGGCCCTGACCTTCATCAAGGCGTTCTCGATCGGCCGTACCAGCTCGTGTGAAAAGACGGGCCGTGTGTCCAATGAGCCGGGAACAGGATCCTTCCACGTCTTAAGCATTTCCTCCATTTTCCTGCGGATGCCGTGGTCGACCACCGCGTATGACTCCATGAATATCTTGAACAAGTTCCGGCCGAAATACAGCGTGTAAGGAGTGCCAACGTTTTTGACGATTGAGTCCATCACATAGAGAGCGGGTAGTTTCTTATTCGGTGGCGCCTGGTTACGTGTGAGCATCTGAAGATCCAACAAGGAGAAGGAGAAGGGGAGACAAAGGGGGTAGAGGGAGAAAGAGTCATGCATCGCAAGCGAAACTCCCATCAACCTCAACACGTTCAAAGGGAAATGCCTTCCTACCTTGAGAATGTGCTGCTGCAGAACCTCTGCAATGGCCAAAGCATGCTCAGTATTCTCTCTAGCAATTACTGTCAAATTGCTGATCTCAAAGCGCATGTTGGAGGAGAGGTCTTCCAGGGCAAGGCGGTAATCCTCCGCCACCTCAGCTCCGTCAGACGACATTGTGAAGTGGTTTGCCGATAATTGGAAAAATAATATTCTTTAAGAGAGAAAAGACAACGAGGAAGACTCTTGGCGATCAGATGTGACCAGAGTCTGACAAGTAGGCAACGGTACTTTTGCAGGATCCCAAGAAGAGAACAAAGGAAAACGCAGCTGCCGCCTTGAAGTTGAAGAGAACAAGAAGATTAAGGGTTCGTCGTATAGGCGACGAAGCGAGATCGGACACAGTAACCCGGTTGCACGTAGGAAGAGGCGCGAAGTTTATTCCAAGAGATACTTGTCCTGGCCTTCGCCGTCCTCACCAACTCTATACCCCAACAACAAGCTATCGTATTGATCCTTTGCAAGCCTTCTTCAGCTTCCTCTTGGTCTTCTCTTCTTGACTTTTGAAATCACTCGCCGCGAATCAATCACTATCTCCGCAGGCAAGCCTACGCTGGAATGGCCTCCTATGGCCTGGATCGTGCTTTGCGGGAGTATCGCGATATAGTAGTTACTATCAATGATCGTGTCGAGTGCCGCGTCGCCGTGGAAAGAAGGCTCCGGATGGGCGAGGCTCGCGCTGATTGCAGAGGCGTGGGAGAGGGGAGCAAAGACCAGTTTGCCGTATACAGATGGGAGGCCGATGGGAAAGAGTCGAGTACCGCGGCCCAGCTCCCTTTCGCAGAAAACGAGGCAAAGAAACGTCAAGATGAACCGCTTCAGGCCGCCAGAGAAACCATTGGGAGAGGGAAAGCAAACGGAGATGACGAGCAATGGAGCGATTGCCGGAAGGTTTATGCTAATCAAGGGTCACGTGATGATCCAGCTATCAGCTGCCGCACGGACCATTCTCGAAGAGGAGGCTTCAGTCAGCCCTCACCTTGATGGCGACAGAATCAAAGAGACAATACTAGACGCATGAGCACATACTATTCGCGAGAGGTGATGAACGAGCATTACGCTGCCTTCTGTTTTATTGCTTTTTCAAAGCCGAGGTTACATCTGAAGTGAAGTAATTCTTAGGCAACTTCAACGTCTTCACGACGACGCCGAGATCACGTGCGCACCGAGGAGGTGAGCAGACAGCATGGCGAGTCGCGTTTCTTGCACTCTTTCCCTTTCAACTCTCGGTGTTGTTCAGATGAGGCATCGCATTAAATCATTGCTGAATCACTACTAGGTATACAACTGCACATGCTTAGAAATTGATAGAAATCAGAATGACCATGTCCAGCCCTCTTGGGGGTATCGCTTGTTCCAGTCCTCAACGCCCTTGTAGTCCCTCCATCCATCCATCCACCTATCAGGCTCTAGGTATTGGCCTGTCGACTGCCTTCATTTTTTTTTTTTTGATCATTTTTGTATTTTCATTCATTATATGATCCATTCGTCCATGTCAGTCTCGCAATGGCAGTCAGAATCGAGACATGTTCGCCTCAGAGTACCGGCTGCTTCGACTGCTGCGGCTATTCATCCGGGTGTTCATGGGGTGCAAGGCCGTGTCCGGGCGCTTCAGGCCAGGAATGATGGGACTGTCGCTCTGCGCCTCAAGATCGCGGCCATGGTGGTTGATGTAAGGAGGGGCGGCAATTTCCGGTTGCCCATTCAGGTAATCCTCCTCCTTGTCCTTCTTCCAGAACATGGACACGAACTTGCTCCTCGTCTTTTCGTTTCTGGCCGAAGATGATCGGCTCGGAGGCTCGTAATCTGTGAATTCGCGCTGAGACCGAGCGAGCGAGCCGTTGGCACGAATATCGCGAGACGTGATGCCCTCCTTTCTGTCACACCAGATAAAGGAGCAGACGATGTTGAGAAAGCCAAAGATCAAGGCCAGGATGCCCGCAGCCAACACCAGTGACGACAGGGCAGAGGCCATCTTCAAGTCGTGATTGAGCATGCCCAGGATGTTGCAGCCGATGATGATCATTCCCAGGCCCAGCCAACTCAGCCCATGGTGGTCGGACAGGACGGGCCACATGCGCCGGAGGTAGATCTTGATGAACTGCGCAAAGGCAAGTTCCGAAACGACAAGCAGGGAGCAGAGGACGGAGACGAAGAAGAGGGTGAAGCACTCGAAGATGAAGTACGGCTTGTTCTTCTCCACGTTGATGACGAGGATCCAGCAGGCGGCGCCGGAGGTCAGGAGCGTAATGACGGTGGCGACTCGGAGGGCTTGGAGGACGACCAGTCCAGCGCCTCGAAGGCCAGGTGAGTTCATGAAGCCAGGCATGATGAAGGCTTTGTAAGTTGGTGTTGGAGAGGGAATGCTAAGGGAAACAGGTTAGTCGAGAGAGAATGAGTTGCGTTAGGAGGTACTTACTATGCGAGACAGGAGAAGGAGGAGCGAGTCCCTGTCAGTGAATGAGTGTGAAAGGTGAATGGTCAAGTAAGGACCTGTAAGGACCTATTTCTGTATGTTGTATATTTTGGCGAGAGATTAAAGCCTTTTTGATGCAGATAATCTGGGAACCAGCCCAAAGTCGATGAAGGTAATGAAGGATGAAGCGTTTGAAGAAAAGAAAGCTGTGGGAAGAGAGGAAAGGAAAGTATGTGAAGCTACGAGAATGACTGGAGAGCAGCTTCAGTGTATGTTCACATAAACAGCATTGTTCACAAAGACAATAGGACGGTAGGAAAACGAAGAAAAAGAAGGAGAAGAGGAGAAAGTGATTGACAAAATTGTGAACAGCACTCTGAAAGAAGGTAGGAAAAAAAAAAGGTGTGTGGGCAATTGTCAATTCTGAAAAGAGGCCCAGCACTTGTTTATCAACGACCACGCACCCAATCAATGCCACCACAACAATAGGCCCATTTGCCGCCCTCACTCACGATGCTAGGAGCAAAAGAAGCAAGCCCCCTGCCTGCTGAAACGGAGCGCAAATCTCGGAGAGAACAGAAAGAACTCAGAAAGACATGCATGCAAGACCCAGCCAGAGGGAAGCTCGCAACCCCCATTCACGACACCAGCTAGTAGAGCTGCCGCGCTGGCTTCTCAAGACCAATCGTTCCCCCGGACCCTCTCAAGCAGTCTCGGCGGCGAAAATAGGCCCATGGAGTCGCTACGTGCTGAGATGTTAGCCGCGCCGAGAGGGAGCTTCGTTTCATGGCCAGCCTGGCCTCCATGTGGCCGCGCTGGCGCCTGTATCGCAGCCCTGATGCAAGCCTCGAGACGCTCCTGATCGGCCGCTTCAGAGGAGGGGAGGCAGAGGAAGTCTGCAAATCGGAGCATCTGGTCATGGCGGGAGCGTGCATTGCTTGATCTCGGCCAATGAAGCGCGGCGGCAAATCGCTAAAAACAGGCCATTCATTGGGAGTCAAAGGAGTCGATTGTCTGCAATCTCGAGACTGGGATTGTTGGAGGCGGGATCGATTGGCTGCCGAGGTGCGTCTAAGTGTTTCAGCAGATGTGTGGTGAAGCGCTGTTGCGGCGGTACGTATCCGTGGCGCAAAAGCGCTGGTGAACAGGGGTGTGAACGAGGTACCGCTACCTGCTCTTGACGGCGCTGCAGTCAAACCCAACCTGATCCCTGCCTTGAACCTGGGCTCAACCCAATACAGGTACGACACAAGCAGGCGTCTTATTCCGGGTTAAAAAAAGATATAAAGACAAAGTTTAGCTCTTTAGATATTGCTTGTTAGAATCCACCGTCTCACAAGAGCCGAGAATTGCTGAGTCACGGGCACTGCTTGGTCGCTGTGTTTGGCCCCTCCAGATTGGAGATGCATCACAATCCCATCCCATAGCCGGAATAGGTGTTGCCGAAATCGGTGCAACTGCTAGCATGGCAGAATCGACGTGAATCAGGTCTTGAAGGCTTCAAAAAGGCGATTGGTAACCCGTGCTGAATTTCAAGGACCAATTACTAGCCCTCTTCGTCTTTTCCGGCATCGATGAGATGCATGCAAGTCATGAGATGGCCCTGTGTGACTGAAGGTCAGACATTTCCGGTGGCCCAGATTCACCTCAATCCGATTTACCGCCACGCTTTTGCAATCGGATGCGGAAATGCCTGTATATTGGTGCCTAACACACCTTGAGAATTGCCACGGCATGGTCAATTATTCCTGTGATGTCAAGGGAGACAAACAATCTTGAGGCATCAGGAGAGCACAGACGCAAACCTTGGGGATTTTCCTCTGGTGGCGCAAGGTAGCAAAGCAGTAAAAGTAACACGGGCCAATCCGTGATTAGCGGCCTTATTCCGTACCTATGTATGGAGTCCCAGCAGCATTTAAAGGCCAGCCTCCCGATTGGCTCAGAACCATCGCAGCCTCTCTGTATTTGACTTCGCGACGCGCAGACTACTAAGGTACAGCCTCTTCCTCCTTAGTCCATTTGCTTCCACGACTCTTCCGCTACCACCACGACCAGCACTCCCACGCCAGCGTCATCACCATGGCCCGCGGAAATCAGCGAGACCTGGCGCGCGCCAAGAACCTCAAGAAGGATGCCAAAGCCGTACGTCGATCCCCCCGATTTTCACATGCGAACCGGCGAAGCCCATCAGGATATTACGGGATGGACTAATTGACTAACCCCTGGCCCTCGCCCTTCCTTGCAGAAATCCGGCAACCAGCTCGACGGCTACCAGCTGGCAAAGGCATCCCTCAGCAATGCCGAGATCATGAGGCAGAAGCAAGCCAAAGGTCCGAAACCCCCCCCCCCGATACAGAACGCGTGCCGCTTGTACCGATTGCGAACCGTGCAACTGACCCAACGATACATGTAGCCGACGAGAAGAGGCGAGAGCAGGAAGAACAGGCGCTGCGGGAGAAGAAGGAGGCAAAGGCAAAGAAATGAAAACAACTGCGAGAAAAGGCCTGACGTCTCGAGGATGGAAAAGCTGCGAGAGCAGATAGTCGTCCAGCGGCCACGGCAAAACGATTGAAGAAGGCAACAAGGGACATAGGCACGGCGAATTGGGGCGCTCCTTGACAGGTTTACAACACGGCGCATATTATTGGGATGATTCATAAGCGACAGGGGACGGATTTGTTTTGGCTATGCAGTGAAATTGAATATTTACTACCGACGGGTTACCGTTGTTTTGTTGTTTGCGCCAGCGAGCAGCAAATTTTTGGCATACCACATGCCGCCTTTTTTTTTTTCTTTTTTTTTTCCCCCGGGCTCTACGACATGGAGTTGCCTGTACTTGCAATAGCTCAACGGCTTGATCCTTGCTACCTACCTAGCCGGAGTCAAGCACGTATTTTACGATATCGGTCAACGCCTTTGGCCGAGGTGTGCGATTACAGAAATCGTCACTGTTGAGCGTTGGGTTCCGAGTACGATAGCATTGTGGTTGAGGATAGCAGGGACAGGGGTGGCCTCTTTTATCCGAAGGCTTCCATGAGTGTCCAAAAGCCATGCAGGGGTACGGATTACGGCCAGGGCCAGACCGAGGCCTAGAACGTACCGATCTCGAAGCACCAGGATCTCTACCCATTTCGGGGTGTGCCGGAATTGTCAGTGGTTTCCTACAGGATTCTACACATGCCTCCTGGTCAAATTGTAGCGCTGATGCGCAAGCCACATTGCAAGCCCGAGACAGTGATACCCTCCCCCAAGCAGTCACTTAATAAAGAGAAAAAGTGTGTCACGATATTTCTCAACGATTTTTGATGCCTAGAATCTGTATTTTCCCCTGTAGATACTGATATCATGGCACTGAATGACATTTGAAGACAATACCGTCTTTGATTCAGGGTAGCCGGATTCGCTGCCCTAACATTTCAACATGTGGCTGGCCCCAACTTGATACTTTAAATAGTAGCTACCACCGTGATTCGCTGAAACGGAGTGCCCCATCTGCGATTAGATAACGGGAGCAGCACATGGCAGCCTTGCTGACGCCACCATATCCTTCCGCATCTCAGCCTCGTCTGTTTGCTGGCCACCTGGCTCTTTCAACTGCCTGGTTCAAGCAGCGTCCACCAGCGCGGCCATCAAAAATGGCAATCTCTTGGGATTCGTACGTACTTTAAACATGAAGACTCGAAAACCATGAATCCACAAGAATAATACTGACATGGATCCTTTCCAATCTCATAGCATCCGCGCATTCGCCCTCTTCTTTGGGCCCATGCTGCTCCCCAAGGCCATCTCCTACTACCGCAGCGTGCGCTCGGCCCCCGGCCGCCATGGCCTCTCCGTGCAGCCCGTCCCGCCGACGATCCGAGTCGCCATCTTCATGCTCTCCTTCTTCGCGTTCCTGCTCGTCGTCAAGACGCTGCCGTTTGCCTCGCCGGAGAACGTCTTTGCCAAGACGCAGAGCAGGCTGCAGATCCCCGTCGACGTGCTCTTCACCCGCATCGCGGCTCTACGGCCCGACAATGTCTACACGCCGTGGGACCATGCGCTGAGGTCCAAGTTTGTCAATCTGGAGAGCAGGCTGTTGTATTTCCAGTACGGGCCGGAAGTGCTCGCCGAGTGCATCTTTTGCACCGCAGACGAGCCCAAGAGCTACTTCTACTACGCCCTGCCTTCCCTCCTGTGGCCACACATTGGCAACCTCGTCGTCCTCGCCATCGCCACCAGCCCCTCCGTAACGGGGAAATATGGCTCCCAGTGGCGAGGCCTGGCAACGATCTGCTCCGGCGTTCTCGCCGCAATCGAAATCTACCTCGTCCACTCCTACAACTACCAGGCCAACGCGCGGGCGCTGCGGCTCCACGAAATCGACTTCTTCTACTGGACGATGCGCAACTACCGCTTCGTCGCTCTGGCCGCGCTCGATGCGGCCGTCGCCTACGTCTTGTACCTGTCTGCCACGAACCGCGCCTTTGTGCAGCCCCCCTCGCCGGCGGAACGCATCGAGCAGGTCAACCGGGCGCTGGTTGCGGCGCGGAGCAAGGTCAATGCGGTGGGAATCGTCAAGAACACAATCATGCGCGACGAGGACTTGAGGTCGCGGTCGCAGGCGTATTGGCAGCACGAGGTGCGCATCATGGGGGAGGTGATGGAGGAGCGGGAGGTGATTGATGGCGTCAACGATGCGTTGAGCAACAGGATTGATATCCAGAACATCACGAGGGATGCGGAGACGTATACGCATAATGTCCTGCGGCCGGTGCTAGAAGAGTAGACGGGGGAGGGGGGGCATAGCTTTTTCTGATATCAACGCATTTTGGTTTTGGCATGGCCTCTGGCGGCTTTCATTGCAGCGGCGCATTGTTCTTGAGTTGTATTTTATTCGCCTTGTTGAGAAGATATATATATATATATATATGTATATTACGCTGTGAAACAGTTGTATAAATTTGTTCTATAATACATCACGCCCTAGATTCAGGCCGGCCTATCGCACCCCCCGCGCCCGTCGCCACGCTGCTCGCGCTGCCCTTTCTTGACGGACCGTCGCTGGTGCCCTCCTGAGCGCTGCGCTCCAGGAAGCCTGCCCACAGCTCGGCCAGGGACTCCCTGTCCTTGGCAGAAGAAGGCTCGGAGAAGATGTCGGCGCTGAGCGATGGCGAGCTGGGCGTGCGCTGGAAGGGCGACAGAGGGAGGCGCAGGCTGTTGCTGGATCCGCCAGGTCGAGCAAGGCCAGCTTGTTCGCGCTGCTCGTCGGTCCAGTTGAGATAGCCGGCCATGACCTGCAGGACTTGGAAGCGCTTCGCGTCGCCTCGGTCGAGCGTGAGGAAGTGGAGGAGATGATTCGTGATGACTTGTCTGTAACGAAATATGTTAGTATAATAGAAATCCTTCTTCGTGGTGTGGTGATACTTGCCTGTCAACGTTATCCTCTGGTTTCGTCTTTTTGAGATACCGCAGGGCCTTGGTAAGATGGTCGTTCAGCACAATGGCTTCATGCCGCAGCTTTCCAATCAGGAGGTTCTTCTCCTTGACCTCCTTCTCAAAGGGCGCCGTGCGCTCAAGCTCCTTGACAAGCTCCTCCTTGGCTGCCTGTGCTTCTGTGGCCTTCGCGACGGCTTCCTGCACGAGCTTCTTCTGCTCTTGTAACTGGGCCTCGCTTGTCTCGACCAGGTCGCGGAGCTCCTTCTTTCGGGCGTCTTGGATCTCCCGCAGGGCATTTTGCAGATTGTCGATGAGTGTTGCTTGACTGTCGCGCTCGGCGGTGGCCGCCTCGAATCCTTCTCTTAAGCTGGCAATCTCCTCCTCCAGCTCGTTGACCTTGTCGTTGAGATTCTCCTTGATGGAGCGCTCTTCCATGGCAATGACCTCCCACTCGCCCATGGCATTGGACGTATTCTCCATCTCCTCCTTGAGATGCTGGATTGTCTTCAGGAGCTCTTCCCTCTCTTTTCCCCAATTGTTCGCCGACAAGTTGTTGCGACTCCGGAGCGTCGTCAGCTCTCGTGTGGCATCTTGGAGCTCCTCTCTGAGCTTCGCCATGTCCTCGTTGGTCGCCTCAGCTGCGCTCCGGAGCTCCTCGTTTTGCGCCTCAAGCTGTTCGATGTACTCCTTTGCCTCTTCCAGCTCGGCCTTGTCTCGCTTCAGCCTGTCGCTCAGCGTCTCTTTGATCTTCTCGACGCGCCCAAGAAGTGTCTGGTACTGCTCCTCAGCGGTTTCTCTTGCCGCATTGCTGTCTTCCAGCTCCGACTGCAGCTGCGACACTTCGGCCTGGTGTGTCTCCTGGATGCTCTCGAGTTGCTTGCGCAGCTGCTCGACCTCAGCCCTGAGGGCCTCCCGCTCCTTGCCCATGGCCTCCAGCTTGGCCGATGTGTCGGAATCGCCGTCGGGTCGTTGCTCGTGCGCGTGGTCTTCGGCGGGCTCGTGGTTCGCCGGAGCTACCGGGTGCCCATTGCTGTCGTTGGGAGGGGTTTCTTCTGTGTTGTCGACATTGCTCGGGAGTTCCTAACGCGGCATCGTCTATTAGCGGGACTCTCGCAGGATCTGAAGCTTGCTTGGGCAAAGGCTTACGGCGGTCGTCGGCGTCTCTGGCTCCTCGTCTGCCTCGTCCTTGTCAATCCTGGCGTCGCCATTGCTCGTCTGCGCGGGCTCCTTGTTCTTGTTCGCATTCTTCTTCTTCTTGTTGCTCTTCTTCTTCGCCGCTGTGTCATTCCGCCAGCCTTTAGCATACGACATCCCACCAAGTCGGGCCATGGAGCAAGGGCCACAACTAACCTGGATTAGACGGCAGACTGGGCTCCGTGGGCGCTGTCGGGGACATGGTGGGCAGGTGTTTATTAGACCGAGCTCCAACGAGCTGGCATGCGGCTTTGCTGCGACTCGATGTCTGTGAGCGACTCCAACCTCCAAGCCTCTTGTACGGCAGCCTCGTGCGAGAGGCTCTGGCGCAAGGGAGGCCCGGGACTGCCTAGTCAGCGCTCGATCAGCTCCCGCGGCGTCGTCTCCGATTCGTCTGGTCCGATTGCTTGCGGATCCTCGTCCAGGTTTGAGGCTCCTCGAGGCTCCAGCTGGCGATGCGCAAACCGGTGAGAGCAATTGAGACAAGCGGTCCGGGAATGGGGCGCCGGCCAGGGATCGTCGGCGCTTCTAGAAGGCCTCGGCACGCGTGAGAGAAGCTGGGAGCGTTTCTTCCAGAAGAACAGGTGGTCCAAAGGTGCGGATACGAGCCGTCTCTCCATGGTCGTACGTATCCCCAAGCCGGGACCGCATTCGGGCCACGTGCTTAGTCATCGCGAGATTTTGCTTATCAGGTCCTTCAGTCTGCGGGTCTGCGATTTTTTTCTTCTTTTTCTTCTTCTTCTCATCTTACAATTAATCTTCGCCATCACACTATTGAAGGAGGTCCAAATCCCTACTGGCTCTTTCACAATCTCGCGCGAAGTAGAGAATCTCGCCTTTTATAATCCCGTTGCTTGCTTGTATTTCTCACGAGCGTGACGGGTTCGCTTATGTGCGGACATGCCATTTCCATCATGAAAGTTGTGCTACTAGTTCTTCACGGAATATCTGGTCAAGATGAAGTGCAAAACATGGAATTTTCATGAACCACTGCGCCGTAATGAAACCTGCCTAGTGTAGTAGAAAGAAAACAGATCTAAGTAGAAAGCTTGTCCGTCGTTGATATTTAAGCGTCGGCCTTCTTTGCCCGGGTCGACCTGGTCGATCTCGTCGCCTTCGCCTGGGGAGTCTCCTTGGGCGTCGTTGCTTTTGACTTTGTCCGGGAAGCCTTCTTGGGTGTCTTGGCCTCCTGCGGCTCCTCAACCGGCTTCTCCTCCTCTTGGGCTACCTCAGGAGCGGCCTCGGGAGCGGCCTCAACCGCCTTGACCTCAGGAGCCTCGACTGCCTTGACCTCTTCTCCATTCTCAACCGCCGCGGGTGCCGGCACGCTCTTGAGCTCCGGAGCCTCAAAGTCGTATCCCAGCTCCTTAAGCTTGGCGGCCTTCTTTGCCCGGTTGTTGCGCTCTCTCGCGACCTTGGCTTCCCAAGCGGACTCGGTACGGGGCTTCTCCAGCTGGATGCCCGCCATCTTGTTCCACGGCACCTTCTTGAACCTTCTGTTGGCGCCCTTGAACAGGTCCTCGTGGACCTGCTCCTTGGAGAGAACCTTGCACTTCAGGATGTGTCCGAAAAGCAGGTAGTTGTCCATGGTCTTGGAGACAATCTCAGCAGTGCTGGCCTCGGTAAACTCGACAAAGGCAAAGTGCTTGCTGGCGCCCGTCTTCTTGTTGCGGGAGAGGCGCAGCCGTGAGATGGGGCCGAACTGAGATAGGTACTGCTTCATCTCGTACTCGTAGAAGCCGTGGGGTATCCGTCCGATGTAGACAACGCCGGGCTCCTCCTTGGAGGCCTTGACCGACTTTTGAACATCCTTGGAGACCTTGGGAATCTTGCCAACATCCTGGCCGGGCTGGAACTCTTCCTCGTTGACGGCGGCTTCCTCTTCCGGGTCAATGTTGCCGGCGAGGGCCTGAATGTTCTCATCGTCTTCCTGTCCCTCGGAGTCGGACTCGCCCTCCATGTCGATCACGTCGTCCTTCTTCTCATCTTGCTTCTTGTCCTTCTTGCTTTCCTTCTTCTGCTTCTTCTCCTTGTTCTCCTTCTTAGATTCTTTCTTTTCCTCCTTCTTCTCCACCTTCTTCTCTTCCTTCTTTTCTTCCTCCTTCTCCTTCTTGTCCGCCTTCGCCTCGGCCTTTTGTGACTTGGGTGTCTTGGTCTCGGCTACCGTCTTCTTGGTGGACTTTTGCTTTTTGGAGGAAGCGGGAGTAGATTGCTCAGCGGCTGTGTCCGGATCGTGTTAGAATAAGCGCCTTGATCCGGAGTCAATTGGGGTCGCTAGTCATACCCTTTCGCTTTCCCTTGGGGGTCTTGTCCGCAGGCGTTGTGGCCTCGGCAGGCTTTGCGACCTCCTCAGGCTTCGGCTCTTCCGCAGCTATGATTAATTAGATGGAATTCGCAAAAAGACAGAGGTCAGTCGCGGCTCTTACCCTTTCTCTTACGAAGAACTGGCGGCATGATGGGAATCGTAGAGGTTGTCTGTACTGTTTAGACAAATCTATGGGCGAATCGTCGCAAATTCGCTTCACCTGAGAAAAAGAGAAAAAATTACTGGAAAATTTACGATTCTGCCGATTTTCGAGGGCGGTGAGCGTGAGGAATATGCGCGATTGGTGGGGTGGCTTTGCACTATCAGACGCTATGCCGATTACGGCAACGAGCTCTGTGGGAATTCAGGCCTTTGCCATTGTTTTGTTCAGGGTATCCTCGAATTGCTATGGGAGGATAGCATCGTCATTGCCAGGATATATCATGAGTTGAAGTGAACATAAATATATTTAGAGTTGCCAAACTTCATCATATTGGCTTTCCATTCTCTTTGAGACTCAAGCCACTACTTACTACGTACCTACGTCACAATACCTAGGTACTGTGACTTGTCATTGTTGAACAGCTCGACAGGCTTAGGTCATCGTCTTCGAGTGCTCCTTCTTTGACTCTTCCCACCTCCATCAACCTCAACCCACAAACTCACAATTTCGTCACAATGGATGTCGACGAATCTGACCCCAATCACGAGGAGATTTGGGACGATTCAGTCCTGATCGACTCGTGGAACGATGCTCTGCGGGAGTACAAGGTACGACTATCACGACTATCACGGAAGGGAGGAGCGTTGCCTTAACCCGAGCCCAGAAATACCACAGCATCCACGCAAAAGGCGGCAGCATACGAGACTTGGAACAAGCCGAGGTCGAATCATCCAAGTGCGTCTACTGACTCTTCGTATCGCATTGAGCCATTCTCTCTGCTGCTGCTGCTGCTGCTGCTAACGCTGCCACAGGGCCGACTTGACTCCCAAGATGGAAGAATCGAAGGAAACCCTGGGCCATGTCCCAGATCTGTCGGATAAAGGTGCCGATGCAACAGACGATGTACGTTTTGCAGCACAGACTCACTGCATCTGCCATCTCAGATGCCCCCCTGCCATGGCTGTCCAGGATATCCAGCTCATCGGGGTTCACAGGTTCCCGCCAAGAAGCAGTCAGAGAGCACACAGCCAGCACACGGCTTAGACTCTTTGCCCAAGCCGTTTCCGCCTCAGGCAATACTTGGCACAGGTTAGTACTCACCGCGAAAGGCGACCAAACACCCCTGGCTTTTCGCCCGACATCTCTTGAACGTGCCACACTGACGCTGAAGAAACTCCCCGGGTTGCCATGGCCAGTGCGCGACGAGAATCTGAAAAAGCTCCTCATGTCGTGGTACTACGCTGGTTATTATACCGGCCTGTTTGAGGGACAACAGCAAGCACAGCAGCAATCGCAGCAGAAGACGGAGCAGTCGCGTTGACCACTTGACCACGTTTGTTGAAGCCTTGGTTTGTCTGTCGGCGTCAACTAATACTAGTAAGTGATCGTGGGGGGAAGAAAAGGTGCTGCGCCACGGCGGTTGAATGGTGAAGCTGGGGTGGAAATGCTGCGACAAATGGCGTTCCACAGGCCTGCTAGTTCGACAACCGTTGCGGTGATTTGGTCTCTTGCGTCTCAGGATAGCGCCTGGTGGAAACAAACGTGTCAGTGCATTTCAATTCTCTCTGGCTGTACCGACTTCAGCCACGCCGCGAACTGATGGTTTCTCGTCAGTTGATTTGTTTCAAACTACAGGTACATAGCGGTGGAAATCAAGGCATCTGCATCACGACCAGTGCATGTACTTGTATGTATGTGCATGGCACATCATCCACGCGTTTGTTTGATCTGACCCTTCACAGTGACACACGCCTCGACGGCAGACTGCTGCGGCCTGTTTCTGTCACCGAGTATGCCTGCCTTCTCTATTCTCAATACTGCTTTTTCTTCTGAAGCACTCTTTACTTTCATCTGAGTGTCGTGGGTTCAACCGATTGTTAACGCTTCAGGCTGCCCATGGCTAGGATCCTGCAGACCCTGCTCTGGCGCCTCCCTGTTCTAGACTCGAAATCCCAAGCTTTCCGTCCTGCTGTCAATTTAGTAGCGAGGATGCCTAAGATTGAAGGGAGGAGATCGCTAGGACGCGTTTCGATAGATCCGGTCGAGGCATCCCAAGTCGGGAAGACCAAGTCGGGATCGCATGAACGGTGGGAATTGCAGAGCGACATAGTATTGATAAGAACTGCGCTACGGCTCATTCCCCGGCCCATGAGAAAGCCGTGTTTCATCCTCCACAATGGCGGTTTGAGGATCCTCGCGAACTAGTTTGGGCTTCGCAGCGCTTGACGATTGTTTCTGGCTTCAACCCCTTACTTGTATTGCAGACAACTGCGACGAGTCTATGCTGCTTGTGGCGTGGTTCGGAGCCTGCGCGGCCTCCAGCTGTTGAGTTGATCTAGCCGCCAAAACTTTTGCTGCGTGCTTCTGCATCGCCGTCTGCTTCTTCGTTGAGGTGCATTTCTAGGCGCATCAGCTGCTGACATTGCGCATCACTCAGATACCGGAACCGAAGTGCCAGCTCATGTTGGCGTCTCCCGGAGAGAACGGAAAACGGAGCACGCATTTGCACATGAGATGGATGGCTCACCGTTGCCGTGCACTTTTCATTTGCCATATCCGGGGGTCTTCAGCATTGCGTCTCCACCTTCGCGGGTCTTGATCTTGAGCATCAACTACCTAGTACAACTATTACAGGGGGCTGAACGTGGCGAGCGATGACAAGCCGCAGCCGGATCAAACAAAGATGAGGAGAAAAATGCTTGATTTGAGTCTTGAATATGCTTCTCAAGAAACATGCGGCTGTCTTGCATCCCAAGACCCTAGCCGCTGGACCGGGGTTGCCAACTGGGCCACGCCAAAACATGGCCAAACGCTACCCGAGACACCTCTGTTACAGGTTTCTCCTTGAACCCCTGCAAACCAGCAGAATGCGCAAACCAGTACGGAGCACCGCTGATTCGGATGCATCGCGCCCCGGAGTACAACTCTTTTAGCTCGGAAACGGGGGGGTTCAAGGGTCTGCCTCCCATCAGGAGGAAATGCCCTGGCTTCATGCTCGGCCGCATGGCGTCTGGACAGATATAATGCCTGGCCGTCCCCGAGACGAGCAAAACATTCCTTTGTTTCCTCATCACTAGTCTCGAATTGTTTCGGCAGTTGTTCTCTTTCCCTCTTTTTTCATTTCTTTCTTTCTGTTCCTTCCATTCGCTTCACGAGCAGGCCCTCGCCAAACCAGCCCTTTAAACTTGGTTGATTCAAGTCGTGTGCAACAGCCCTCCTTTACGTGTAATACAAAGTCACAATCTTCAAATCCAACCACACCGCCAACATGAAGTTTTGCTCCTGGTTAGCTCTGGCCTCTGCGCCTCTTGCTCTGGCCAACAAGGTCCAGAATGCCTACCCCGACAACGCCGCCCGAGGAGTCGACGTGGACATGGATGCGCGAAGCATCGCCATTGCCAACGGCATGGCCGGCCACGGCATCACCGCCAACGCCCTGACCGAGATCATCATTATCTGGGCCAACCCCGGTGGCGGTGCCGCCACCACGACCTACAACCCCAAGGTCACCGTCACCGAGACCGTGACTGTCGGAGGACAGACCTCGACCGCCGCCGCTGCCGGTGCCACCCACACCGTCACCGTTGGAGGAGCCGCCGGCCTCGTCTACTCTCCTCCTCAGCTCAACAACATCCCCGTCGGTGACACCGTCATCTTCGAGTTCCACTCCATGAACCACACCGTCACCCAGTCTCCCTTCAACACTCCTTGCAAGAAGCTGGAGGGCGGCATGGACTCTGGCTTCCAGGCCAACCCCAACAACACCATCGTTCCCGCTCCTCAGGTCGCTATGCAGGTTATGGCCACGACTCCTCTCTGTAAGTTCTCGACTTATCCTTATACCATTGGGATGCCACTTTGGAGCAACCTGCTAACATCGATATCCAGGGTTCTACTGCCGACAGGCCGGCCACTGCGGCAAGGGCATGGTCTTCTCCATCAACCCTACCGCTGAGAAGACCCAGGCTCAGTTCCAGCAGATGGCCATTGCTCAGAACGGCACTGGCTCTGCTACGCCCATCACCGGTGGAACCGCTCCCCCTGCTGCTGCTCCTCCCGCCGCTTCTTCCTCTGCCCCCGCGGCTCCTCCCGCGGCCGCTCCTCCTGCTGCCGCCCCCCCTGCTGGAGACAACGGCAGCGTCACTCCCGGCAAGGGAACTGTTGGCGCCGACGGCAGCTGCTCTTGCTTCGTCCAGTGCTCTCCCGGTAGCTTCCCCGTGAACGCTCAGGGTGTTGGTGCCCACGGTGGCTGGGGTGGTAAGTTTTGAATTCCTTTCTTCTCTCATCAGCTGCAAAAAGAGTCTGATGCTAACAACTCCATCTTTGCAGGTGCTCTCCCCATGAACATGGCTGCCATGTCATAAAACGACGCATTAATGTGACCACAGACGGACGGAGACGGTGTTGGCGTGGGTGGTTGTGGATTTTCTATAAAAAAGGATTATTGTAGATCTTATCATTTCTTCTTACACGTACTTTTGGAGGCTGCCCAAGGGGCCTGACTCTTTTCCTTCACTTATGTTGAGGGTATTGATATCATATGACTGGTTCGTATACAATTTATTTGGACACCTAATGAGACTTTTTCAACTTGCCTGATTCTGAAGCTTGACGTATATGACAACAATTACAGAGTGACACCTCGTGATGATCTGGTCATGTTGAGGGATTCTACAGCGTCATGATGTTCTAGACGTACGGCAACGTTTAAAGTCACCTTGAGGCAAACGATACTCATAGTTGTTCAGTAGGTTCTTGTATTACAAGTCCGTTTAGAATAAAGCCAGACTCTAGCATGAGACGTACATTCCACCCTGATGCTATTAGACCTGCAGTCTTTGATTAAAACAGGCGAGAGTCTTAGCTCTTTCCCCCATTTCAAGGAGATTGGTGATAGACACACTTCAACCCAAGACAAAACACACATGAATAGAAAAGAGGAACAGAATGCTCATACCGCACAATAAGAAGAGGCATATAGAAAAAAGGGCAAAAAAAAACATACAACAGCCGGTGTTCGCTGGTGGTCACCCACCCAACTACTAATCTGCCGGTTAGTGGCTTATCTATGGGGGAGCAGACGGGACCCCGAGTTTTCCACTACCTATGGTCGTATGTGCCTGATTTTGGCATGTTTTAGGTTATAGCCTCCACATTCCTGGTGTTTTACCTTACGACGACGACGAATGCTTCAATGCGAGGTGCGAAGTTCAAGGGCCAGTTTCGCCGGTTTCAACTTTGTTAGATAGCACATTCTCGATTATCCAAAATATACCCAATTGTTGGAAATATACTCAGATATCAGAATCATAACTAATTGCGAGAGGTACGCTAGAAAAGCGAGCCGTTGAGGCAATTGGCCGCAACGTGAAGTCGATTACAATGTCTCGTCGTTCACCAAGAGCATGCAGGGAATAGCGATGTGAGATGTATCTTCAATATTGACAAATATAAGCAACACAATTGCTAGCAACCAGTGTTTCTAAAATAACATGAAGTTGTATCCAGTGTAACACGTGAGAGTTCTTGCCAATTGGTCATCAAGGCGTAAAGTCACCAGTTGAGATAGTTCTCAACCGCTGAGATTGGATGTCTATCTATCTGGTGTTCTCGCCCTGTCTGATTCTAGTTCCGCGGGATTTGAGTTTCCAGGAACGATTGCGGTTGACAATGGCAATTGCCCAACTAGCACTTAGTGGTATACATAGAAAATGGCAAGGCTAAGGGAGATATGCTCTGCTGGAATCGCTCTTAGTGAATGATTTGGATTATCGTGGTGAAGTTCGTTCGATAGAAAGCCAGTCTGTAAAACACGGAGACATCAACTCCCAGGATCATAAACCAGGCACCAGGCTCAATGCAGCCGCTTCTTTTCCAGCACAAAATTACCGCCATGTCCTTTTCTGAATTTCTTGTCCCATTGGCCATTCATACGGCACCCCTCTTCTGCGATTTCAATACTGCCCTCGTACGCCCACCCAAATTCAGGGTACAACTTCACAAATCTCAGGGTTGTCCCAGACGTGACCTGGCCGCGAATGATGAACTTTGCAACTGTGTCCTCCCCGCTACCGGAAAACAAGATGACAAAGTTCTTCGATGCGCTCGGAGACTCCATGTGGACCGTCTCGATCTGGAATGCCGTAGTCTCCTTGTTTGCATCTGATCCATAGTCGTAACTCCCTATCCACTCTCCCACAAGTGTATGCATCCACCAATCAAAGTCCTGGTCATCGTCAATGCCATTGGAGTTGGCAGTATAAGGACTGTTGCCCAGCGCTCCGTGCGAGATCAGCAACTTGGTCATGTCATCGAATGCCATGCCATTCTGGGCGCAGGCCTCAACGGCTGCTAGTAGGACGCCCTCTGGGGCAGGATGCCGGTTCCTTGTCAGCACAAGGGACACAAGCTCACGAGAGTCCTGATCCACAGCCAGCTGGAACGGTGAGTACGGTGTCGACCCCGGCCTGAGCTGGCGGTACGCGTTGGCACCGCGCTCAAGGAGCAGCTTCACCACGTCGTGTGATCGGTTGGCGAGTGCGACTGGCAGCATCGCATCGGGGACAACAGTGCGCGACCCTGTGATGTACCGCAAATCAGGGTTCAGTATCATCGTCTTCTGTAGGTTGCTGCCCCAGTGCCGATCCCTGAGCATATCTTCCTCCTCATTTGACCAGATTGACCAATCGCAAATGCCACTCGAGCTGCCCCCCAGCTCGTCAGGTCTGGAAATGTTGGCTCCCAGCTCTAGATAGATGGCTTCCTGCTCGGTCTTTAGTAAAAAGGTCAGGATATCTCGAGACATCTCAGCGCTGAGAGAAGACCAGCTAGAGTCTTTAGTGAGTGACGAAAGCAGGTCGACATAACCCTCCTTGAGGGCAATGGCCACTCTGACGGGCCACGAAGTTCCGCCCAAAGAGCTCATCTCCTCGTGACTATTCAAGACCTCCAACACGCTTGTGGCGCCTTGCCTCACCGCAATGGCAAACGGCGTCGAGCCATCATCTGTTTCAGCCAGAATAGAAGCCCCCGAATCAAGCATGAGCTTAGCACATTCCTTGGAGTCAAAGCTCGCGGCATAGTGGAGCGATGTCCAGCCGTCCTCGTCTGTCGCATCTACCGCGGCTCCGCGATCCAAGAGCAGCTGGGCGAGAGGCGCTGACCCGACATAACACGCCGCGTGTAGTGCCGTCATGCCCCAAGGCGTTTGGCAGTGCGGATCCGCGTTGTGATTGAGCAGCAGCTTGGTGATTTCCTCGTTCTTCATCTCGATGGCCAGTAGAAGCGGCGCCTGCCGTCCACGAATTTTCTCGTTCGCGTCAGCCCCTTTGTCCAGAAGATGCTGCACAACCTCCAGGTGCCCCTGTGCTAATGCTCGTACCAGGGGCGTGCGGCCTGACTTTGATACGAGGCTCAGGCTGGCGCCTGCATGTACAAGCTTCGTCACCATGTCAATAGCCCCCAGCCCGCAAGCGTGATGCAGAGCAGTCTTTCCGCTTTCGTCTGCAGTATCAAGGTTCTTGCAGTTGACAAGCAGCTCATCGAAGATGTCGCCTGAGCCCAAAATTACAGCAGCAATGAGAGGAGTGCCGTATGTCCCCCCCTTTTGAGACGGGTCAGCCTTGTGCTTCAGCAACACCTCGATCGTAGCTCTCTGCTCGTTCACAACCGCTGCTTGTAAGGGAGTGCCAAATTCGCCCCCTATTGTGTTGCAGTCATGACCTGATTTGATCAGGCGCTCTACGATATCAGTAAGGCCAAGGATAGTCGCGTAATACACCGGAGAAGGACTGATTTTACGTTCCGCAACCGGAGTTGGGGCCTCGAGGGACTCGTTACCTGATTCCTCGCCCGACTCGTCATCTTCAATATCTGACTCTTCCGATTGATCTGCTTCCAGTGATCCGTAGCCGCTGTCGGCACGGTCAGGAGATTTGACCCATGCAGGACGCTGCAAAGCACTCGGATCTCTGCTACTGTCTTGTGATATTGATTCGAACAACGTCGCCCAAATTTTCCAATTCTCTTTGTTGAACAGTTTCCAGACCAGGTTTAGAGTGTCTAGCCGAGTATTGCCGGATTTGCTTCGACGAAAGTGCCCTGGCCAGCTAGTTGCCGTGTAGGAGAAGAATGGATAAGTGCAAATGAAGGCTTCTGCGCTCTGGATGGGCTTGTTAGATTTGTCGTCGAACTCATCGTAGCACATATACTGAAGACATATGCCAGCCATCCAATCGTGCTCCGTGCTCTCTTCTGAGAAACACAGTCTCTGATCCGGCCCGCTCATGTAAAGGGGCTTTCGAAGCAAGAACTCTTTGACGGAAAAGTGGACAAAGTGAATAGTTTGCGATGCCAGCGCGATGTTCGCATGCTCTCTGCGCAGCTCAATGAGGGAACCACAGGGCTTGAGTATGTAGCTGCCGACGTACTCTCCGTCCACGCTTTCTTCTGTGAAAGGGTCTGGGAGGTCATCATGTGGATATTCGGCTGATTCCTCGTTGAAATAGACGGCGAGAGCCTCGGCCATTTCGCGCACTGTCAGCGGTCGAGCTGCGAAGAGGACTAATTTCAGGATCACAACGGCCCGCATTGCAAGATCTCGGTCACCTCTAGGGTCCAGAATTCTCTCCAGCTCCCTCTGGTAAGCCTCGTCTATCTCGCTGGGCGTATCGAGAAGAAGCTTGTCCACTTGTTTTTTAGTTGCGCCAGCCTGAAGCCTTTTGTCGAGCAGAGCAATCCAGAGAAACATGCCCTCGCTCTTCTCGACAGCCCGACCTGCTATGTCACTCCTCTTCTGTGCCCCTATCTTGCTGAGCTTCTTTGCGAACAGCTTCTCCGAGAATGATGACACGTCTTTCGTTGTGTCGGCCTTTGTGATCGGGTGCTCGATGACTCTCAACAATTGCTCATCCCCACAACGCCCCATCACAACCTCTCTGATGTCTTGCTGATGGCGGCTCACTAGAAGGACGTGTGTCCCTGTACCTTCGATGGCCCTCACAAGGTCCTGTAGAAATTGGGTCCGGCAGGACTGCTGGGTATGGTATTTTGAGGTCGTAGTAGAAGCTTCAGTACATTCGTCATATCCATCTATCACCAAGGTGCAGTGCAGGACCTCATTGATCAACTTGCAAAACAGTGACCATAGGCAATCCTGGTCGGCCTCTGACACAGGGATGCCTTCACTAATCTTCTGCTGCAGTTGGTCATCTTTCATAGCGACTTCAACGGCCGTGTCGTCCCTGATGAGTAGCTGTCCGATCCACGATTTCAAAATCGCGAATGGATGTGTCCTCTCGTGGTCTTCTCCAGAGCAGAAGAAGAACAAAACTCGAGCGTCGGAATTGTCCTGATTCTTCATGTA